TTCCACTTTTGTAGTAAGTGCAAGCTCATTTGGGAAGCCTAAAGTTTCACTAATTATAGGGCACTGCTTGTTCTGTCTTTAATTTTCCAGCACTAAGGACTTATTGGCTTGTGGAATGTGAAATACTCTTAGGAGCCAAGTTTTACAATTGGGAAAACTCTTGAGTTTTGCCTTTCAGGTTTCTTTGTTTTAAATATTAACAGCGTATAACTGCCAAGATATTGTTGAAACACAAATGGGGATGAAATCATGTACGAACTCAATCTTTCCACTACAGGAGGGAAAGGAAGACAATGAGATTTTCTTTTTTTTTTTTTTTTTTTTTGGGGGGGGGTCCAGTCATGGGGCCTGAACTCTGGACCTGAGTGCTGTCCTTCAGCTCTTTAGCTCAAGGCTAGCACTCTACCACTTGAGCCACAACGCCATTTCCGGCTTTTTTTTTAATTTTTGCTCATGTGGTGCTGAGGAATGGAACCCAGGGCCTCATGCATGCAAGGCAAGCGCTCTACCACTGAGCCACCTTCCCAGCCCCGACAATGAGGTTTTCAAAGAAGCCTCATTCTATCTCAGTGAGCGAGGGCTGACAGTTGCAGAACTGCTGCAGTGGGTAAGTTCATACTGGGATTGCCACTGCAGAAAGAGGAAAGAACAACATATTGTATATTTTTTTCTCAAATTGTTCAGAATTTGTTTTCCTTTAAGGTTTTTTTTTAAAGGAAACAATAGAAACTTCTAGGAAAAGGAAAATCAGTCTACAAGTGGAGACAGAAGCTAGGTTGTATTAATAAATTGTAACAATTCTTGTCATTATTTAGGAATGTCTGAAGGAAGTTACTGAATACTTCATATGTTCTGTTTTACTTTCATGGTATCACTAAATCCTTATAAGCACCATCCCAGCTATTTGTGGATGTAGAAACTAAAGCTGAAAGGTTAAATGGTATATTTACAACTACTGTTAGCCACCCAACTCAACTGCTACCTAGTCTTCAAAAAGAAAACCTAAGTCTCCCTATTATAGAGTTTGGCCTCTTCTGTCCTTCTAGATGAGTTTTTTTGTTGCTGTAGATGCTGTTGTTTTTAATTAAAAGATTGACTAGGTACTTTTGCTCTATAGTAACCATGTTAATAGATGCAAATACAACTAACTCATTTAGAAAGACAGATGAATGTTTGTATGAAATAGTACTGGTGCTTGCTGAAAGATGTTAAAGAATTGCAATTTTTATTTACTCCTGTGATCTGCTTTGGAAATACTGATGGGAATTTTTCTAATGATGGAAAAAACATTTCTTGTAAAAGTTTGAGTGTTTCTTGAGCTTCCCGAGTTCATCAAATACAAATAAATACAAATATAAATACAAATGAGTGGTCACTACCTGGTTTTCCAGAATAAAAGACCCAAGGGTGGGATCCAGACACCTGTTTCACATGATCTGACACACACCACTGGTTTCGAGTAGGGAAAGTCAAACCTTGTCACCTGAATCACTGAGTGATAATTTTTAGAATTCAGATCCCTAAATGTCTAGTACTAACTAATCGGAAACTATAGAGGTCAAGACTGGGAAACTCTACATTCAAAATCATTTTCCTCAATAGTCAACTACATAACTTTGGTTTGGGGATTGGCTGGAAAAAATTCTGGGTGATTTTGTAGGTTGTAAAGAGATTCACATCATTCAGGGAAAGATGAAACTTTCAGTTAAGAGTTTTATTATGAAAGACTCCTCAAGAAACTCAGCAATACTGTGAAAAAACGAGAGCTCTGAGAAACCATGCAACTCAAAAAATCAGTTTCCTCATGGATATCCTTCCACTGATAGTAAATTTTAGTTGCTAAGCTACCTGATGAATGGAAGAAAATTATCTATAAATTCTCCTGGAAGAACCGGCTCAATCTTGAGAAGATAAATGCTAGATACTTCTGGAAGGCTCACTACAGCTGGAAAGAGCACTTTTAACTGAGACAAACAAGACAAGAACAGATACAGGATTCATCATGGAATGTATGACAAAGGCAGAGAAGCAGTAGGACCAAGGCAGATAAATGAACAATAAATGTCTCAGAGATGAGGCTAATTTTTATATCAGATATCGAGACTTTTGTGAAAATATCCCCAAACTGGAGTTTTAGAAAACCTCAATGTTAACATTTTCTCCTTGTACTTACTATACATTAAGAGAAATAAAAAGTTGTCCTTTCTGATGTAGAGGGTTCTCCTATTTTCCTGCTAAGGGTTTTATATGCCTTTTTGAGATTATGTTAACATGTTGACTCAATGCCAAGGAGAATCCTTAGATTCCCCAAGAAACTATCCATTTGCTCTGCAATTACCTAGAGTCTGATTATCCTGTTAAACAGAATATAGACATACATGTGTTTGTAGGTAAAACGTCTCGGACAATACAGAAAAAGGAGAGTACTCTTTACACAGCATGAGTTAGAACAATCTTGGAACTATCAATGAGGAAATTGATGGCTGACATTTGGTGGATGTCAGAGTAGGTTGGGCAGTTCTTTATAATGAGTTCTACTTTATAATGATTACTACTGTTTTATTACAGAAAGGAGCACAAACAAAGAACACCAAGACTAGCTAAAAGTGCATTCTGGCACTTGAGAAGGCATATAAGTTGGGCAGGTCATGGCACATATTCTGTAGTCAAGTGATGTAAGCCCATAGTTACACTGTATTGCTATAAACAATGACAAAGAAAAAAGTTTAAGGGTTCAGTATAAAATACAACTTTTTTCCAAATATTTTAAAGCCAGGGTTGAAAACGCAGATATGGAAGATCAATAATGGTTAGTTATACTAAACAAGTGTGGGCTTTGGAACTAGCTTAAGTTCAAGCCGTGGCTCTGTCATTTGCAGGGAAATGTGAGTTAAGATACAATTTAAAAACATGGGTAGCACAGGTTCCTTTATCAGAAGGCTACTATGAAAAATTGTCACATATAAAATGCTCCAGGGGCTGGGAAGGTGGCTCAGTGGTAAACCGCTTGCCTTGCATGCCTGAGGCCCTGGGTTCAATTCCTCAGCACCACATAAGAAAAAAGCCGGACGTGGCGCTGTGGCTCAAGTAGTAGAGCACTAGCCTTGAGCTGAAGAGCTGAGGGACAGCGCCCAGGCCCAGAGTTCAGGCCCCTTGACCGGACCCCAAAATAAATAAATAAATAAATAAAATGCTCCATATAGTACCTGGCATCCAGCAGGCACTCAAATATTATAACTCATGCTTTACAAGGTAAAAGATGCAGTGCTGGATTTGCTCTCAAGAAAGCAAGGGCCAAGTTGAGAAAAATGATAGGAACCCTGTGAATGTTTTAACAATTAGGTATTAGGAAACTGGGCATTAAATAGGAAATTGGGCATTAGATGTCTAATAATAAAGCATGGATGAAACAAATATACAATCTTCTTGGATGAGTATTTTAAAAGGTAACTATACACTCATATGTTTATATCTATGTTCAAGTGTGTTTTCTTAAAAAATTAGCTGTAATTCTAGGCTGACTCATGATATTGTCTTAATAGGTCAAAATTATATGAGCATTTCTATATGGCTTTAACAACACTTTCTAGTTTCACTTTGCTCTATAAATTTATACCAATTCAATTACATGGGGCTCTAATATGAAAACTAAACTAAATGTTTAGGGAAAAACTTTTAAGCATGCTGAAGTAAAAAATAGGGATGTTTATATATTTTAATAAAATTGGAAAATTTTTAATTCTTTTCTTTCTATAAGACGGTCTTGTATTCTCTAGCCAAACACAAATATAGAATATTATTACCCTTATTCCTCAAGCCAACAGTAAAGATATTAAACTCCTATCATTTTGAATTTTTCCAAGTATATGTAATTGGAGCCATTAGTTTGTAAAGGAGCATGACAAACTTAATGCCACTCAAGTTTTCTTTAATAAAAGATGACAAAGGAATTATTTAACAATTTTGTACAACTACACTCAACTGACAAAGCAGAACTGATTAAGAATCTTCAGGGCAGCAAAGATGTCCATGCTAAGAGGGTATCATCATAAAAGATACACATTCTAATGCTAGAAAATGTTTCAAGTCAAAGATATAAATTTAAGAAAATATTTGACCAACTTATTTCTGTATCAAGTTACATAGCATACACTCTAGTTTTCTTTATGCAAAGAGTTGCTTTTCTTAGAGCAGTTCAAGTCAGTGCAAAGGATTTTCAGGGCTGGGAGTAAACATTAGAAAAGCACTTTGAATTAGAAGCTCATTTTACATTTACTCCAACTCCAACCTGCTCTAACTTGCCCCTTCAAAAGGTTGTCAATCTCTATTATTAAAGAATAATAACCTATAATGAGTCAGATTATTACTTATCTAGGAAGTGGCACTATGGCTCAAGTGGTAGAGCATTGGTCTTGAGCTGAAGAGCTGAGGGACAGCGCCCAGGCTCAGAGTTCAAGCCCCATGGCCCTCCCTGCCAAAAAAAGACACACCATATTATTACCTATCTAGCTACAAACAGGGTACCAGTCATCCCAATACCCTGCTAATCTGCTGGGGTTTTTTTAGAAATCAGAAAATACACCTCACTCTAATATAAAAATAGTACTTTTAACAAGATGGGTTCATTTTGTTCATATAGCTCCCCAAAAGGACTGTGTAACTCAGACTAAAAAGTGAGGATGTAAAGATTAATGAGGACATTCAGGGAAGACAAGAGGGGAAAGGGCTGCTTCCTATAATCCTAACTATACTATCTTATGGATAATTTTTAGATCATAAAAATAAATACTATAATGGGAATATAAGGATTCATTTGTTACCTTTTGGTTTAGAAAGGCACCCAATAAAGCTTCTATTTACTTCTTATAAAAATTATTGGTTTATATTTAAAGCAAACACACACACACACACACACACACACACACACACACACACACACACACACACACACGAAAAATCCTGAACCAGTTCCTACAAACACAAAGAAGGGAGAAACAAAATTTCTTTTCCTCCCTGATTTCAAGTTTTATTACACAGACTCAAAGAATGCTTATTCTATGCCAGCTTTAAGTCAAAGAACGTGTTGTGTTGCAATGCTTCTCTGCATTGAGATTTAGGACATATTGCCAAGTCACATTTAAATACAGTTATAAGGTCATCAGTTTACAAATGTATTTACCAGAGTTAAGAGTGAATGGGGGTGGGAACCCAAATGTTTTAGAATATAATTTTATCAAAAGGATTAAATGGAACAATTTTATAGGCTATCCTGCTATAGATAGTCATATAGAACTAAAAGTACTTCTGGAAAATGATACAGAATAGATTTCCAAATTCTTTGGATCTACGTGGTGGGAATGAATAATCCATATGTGTTCTTTACACTACTTTTAGAACTGTAAATGCCAGGCTGACACAATTTATTCATTGCCTTTCTTTTGCAACAGAATCCTAAACAAACACAAGAATAATGCATGGCCTCAGCACCCACCTAGTAGCACTTCTATAATTTACATTACAACATCAATGAACAGTTTAGAGGATACACTCTCTATGCACTTCATAGGCCTGCCCAATGTGTATATGATTTTTTAGCAAGACACAAAGACAATTGATCTGATTCTAGGTGGGGTTTTCTTGGCAGAAGTATAAAATCATACAAATATTAGCATGTTTCCAACATGTCATAGAACTCTAGTTTGATGGAGTAGTCACTGTCTATTATGTAGGCTACCTTAAATGGAATCCTCATTTAATCCATTTTACACACTGTTGTGGTCTCTCACACCTTTATACAAGGTATGGTCCTAGACCAGAGATTTTTTAGTATCATTCTAAAGAATACAGAGAATATATTTATATACATACTTTTTAAAAATAATGTTTTAAAGTTTTACTATGCAAAATCTGACTTTGGCTTCAACATGGAAGCATTTTTCCTTTTTTAATATTTTACACCTGCATGGACAAAAGTGATTTCCTTTACATTTTGTTTTTTCACAATAGCAAAATAAACTTCTTATACACTGCATTTAAATTGACAAAATTAAGATGTAAAGTTACATGTAACTTCTTTTACTGTGAACTGACTTCTTTAAACATATTTAAGATACATTGCTGATGATTTAAATATAGTACAACTTGATCAGCTTATTTAGAACAGTGTTATGCTAAACAATCCATTAAAACAAATGTTAAAACAGTAAGTAAACTACTATTAAGTTTTAAAGGGAATTATAATGTCTTATTAAAATATACATCAATGTTCTTGCTATTACTTGTTTCTATAATGCATTTCTTCCTAATGCTATTACTACATGCAGAGAAAATAAATGATATCTTTAAACTCATTGAATCATTTGCTACTTTATATGGTAAATAAAGTCTTTAATTTTATACATTATGCAGTATTTTATTTTTCTTGAAGGAATTCAGCTTTCAAGGTCAAAATTAGTATGTGTTTACACACATAAGGACATGTTATTATTAGCTGCAAATACATTCTTCCATGGTAATGTACTTTCAGATTTTATTTGAAAGACAGTACAAGCTTTCTGAAAGTTCTGTTAGAATTTATAAAGGTAAGAAAGCCCAAGCATGGTGAATCCTTCCCCACTCCCTCCTCCAACAAAAGTCTCAAGAAATCCTGGCTCAAAACATGAACACAATCTCACAGGACTGATCAAAATGTTGTGAAGAAAAAAAAATTCTTATTTTTTATACTAACACAGTTGTATTGTATATATTTGATATGGATTCTTAAAAGCAATTTTGATCCAGAATAGCCTCTTTAGAATTATTATTAAAGTGAGGAAAATGATATGTACCCAACATTTAATCAGAAAAAGAAAAATGAGAACATGTTGAACATGTTTGCCATGTTTGATACTATTCAGTAACTTACAAGATGAAGAGAAAGCAGTTAAATATTGAAGAATCAAATTCCTACCTAACTAATATTCCTATCCTACTGCTTTCCATTGCACTGATCATTAGAACTATATGTTAAGGCATATTTAATATATTCCAGAATTGCACAGTTATACTGGTCAGTATTCTATCCCAACTTTTGCCCTTACACTACACCTTTCTTCCAAGGGATCAAAATGCTAAATCATGGTTTTGGTGGCTATTGTAGATCTGAGCTGGCATACCACAGTGTGTTCACTAGATTTATGAACATAAACATTAACACGTTACATAAAATGTACCATAATTTACTCCACGCTCAATCTTAAGAAGGTTTAATGTCTTGACAAAAAGTGAGATGATGACTTAAGTACATTTTACATTTTGTGCATTTAGACCACCATATGCATAGATGTTCTAATGCTAATTTCTTGGTCTTCAGTATCTCATAGTGCTGGATGCCCGGAAGTATGACAGAAACTTGTAACACAGACTAACCACAAAGTACCAGATGTTTCTTGCCATTTGCGATCTTGCAATAAAAATGCGCCAGATCAGAATCACAAGGATAGTGTTGAAACCATAACGTATGTTCCGCAACCTGAAAAGCAAATCAAGAAACATACTAAACAGTATTTTCTAGAATAAAATATTTTTGAATAGTAGTTGATGTTCAGTTTTAAACTTAATCATAGTTCAGAATCATTCTGTAACTTGAAACACAAAAATAAAACAAAAATACATAAGTTAGAAAATTAATAAAATTCAACCAAATTTATGTGTGATCTGAACTGTGAACCATCAAATAATATACCTCAATGGCAAAGTCTTTTCATAACTGTATATTTGAAATACAAATTTATTCACTCAACAAACATTACTGGGCATCCTTTCGTACCCAGTACAATGATAGATACTATAAAATTGTAGGTAAGCTAAGTGGTAGTGGCTCATGCCTATAATTCTAGCTACTCATGAGTCTGAGATCTTAGGATTAGGGCTGGAGCAGCCTGGGCAGAGAAATCCACCAGATTCTCATCTCCAATTAAGCAGCAAAAAGCCAGAGTGGAGCTATGGCTCAAGTGGTAGAGCACTAGCCTTGAGCAAAAGAAAGCTAAGGGATAATGCCCAGGCACTAAGACCTAGCCCTAGTACCAGTGCACACACATGGGAAAAAAAATGGTAGGAAGGAAGGAAGAAAGGAAGGAAGGGAGGGAGGGAGGGAGGGAGGGAGGGAGGGAGGGAACTGCATGCCTTGAATTTCTGGAGTTTACCATCTAAAAGGTCATTTTAGACTGCTGACAATCACATGATAAAGCCTACTGATAAGTCCTCATTCAAGAGTGAAATATGTAATTAACTCTATAAAGGGAAGCTTTCTGTTCTTAAAAACTTATCTTACTCAGGATTCCAAACTTTTTTTTCCTTTCTCAGGGATCAAACTCAGAACTTCAAACATTTCAAGTACACCCCTAAGTCCTTTTGCTTTCAGATTCTTTGTCATAGGTTTCAATACTAACTCTGCCCAGTCTGCCCTCAAACTTCAATCCTTCTGTCTCTGCTTTTGACCAGCTGGGGTTATAAGTATGGATCACCACAATCTGGCATTTTAATTTTTTGAGACAGAGTCTCCCTATGTAAACACAACCTGGACTGAATTGGCAATTCTTCTATCTCTACCTCTTGAATATTTGGATTATAAGCACATGCTATCATGACTAGAAACAAAACAAAACTCTCTTTTAGTGGTTCTGAGGATCAAAATCAGAGCTTTACATATGCAAGGTAGGCACTTTAATAACTGAGCTACACCCTTGCCCCTTTGAATGGTTTGTGATGGTGTTTGAAAGGAATACAAATCTTGAAATATGTAATAATGCTATATAAATTCCATTAGTTTGGCCAAGTAGTTCAAGATAGAATACAATACAGAGACAAGAGTGTAAAGAGCTCTGAATAGGGGGTCAATAGTTTATTTTTGCCAACTAATACAATATAACCTTGGCAAACCAACTTTCCTAACCTAAATATCCTCATTTATACGAGATCCTCACCTAAGAAAAAATACTACAAAGAACCATTAAATTAACTTGCATCACTGAATAATGGATTATTAGTGATTTTGAGTCTTCTGTTTCCTGACCTTATTTTAACTCAGTATGTATTACATCTATAAAGAGACTAAGGAAATTCAAACTGTTTTACAAAGAAAAAATTCTGTGCTGAATGATGTAATGTTACATCTTTTCCAAAGAATATTTGAGAAGGGTTTAAAAAATTCTTTAAATAGATATCTTTTTCTTTTCTGCTAGTATCTTTACTTTTTCAATACCAACATATGGGAAGATTAGTGATTTTTAAACTAAAATTTATCTGAGCTTCATGCTAAGGTGAACATAATAAATATCAACAATTTTCAGCTAAGTCAATACTGTCATAATTGCAATTCAAACAAAAACACTTTTCCTAAATGTAGCAGATTAATACACTTTATTCAATATAAACATTTATCAAAAACAATTGTGCGATATTTCACAAGCAAGACAAGATGTAATAAAAGTGCATGAAACTTACTTGTTCAAATGTTTTCTAGCTGCAGGGAGGCCAGACATTTCTTCATTCAATACATATTTCTTAGTTCCCATGCAGTAGTTCTCTATATATTCTGCCCAATGTAATTGCCGTACATCAATATTGAAGGTCTACATCAACAAACAAAAAAATTACTTCCCTAATTTTTCTCACAACTTTTCAAAAATTCACTTTTTCTGAAAGAGAATGCCAAATGAACAATATTATAAAATATTTAAATGTTAACTTTTCCTACTGTCCTACTAATCTATTGCAGATCTATAAATTCCATGCTACCTTATAAACAGATTGATGTCTGCTTTTTAATTTATAGCCTTTCTTCTCTTCCTTTATTTCTTTGTGTATAATACCAATTATTTTTCCTACATAATAGTTTTAACATCAAGAGAAAAAAATTTATGAAAGTTAGCTTACAATTTTGGATAAGAGCTATTTGATCAATTGGTGGATAAAGTAGATAGATCCAGAAATCTTATAGAAATAACAACTCATGTCAAAATCAGAAAACTATCTAAAATGAACTATACAACTTGAGGGGGAGGAGAGTCCAGAGGAGAAAAACTTGAAGAAAATGAAGGAGGGGGTAACACTGTTCAGAAAGAAATATACTCATTTTCTGACTTAGGTAACTGTAATCCCTCCTCTATACATCATGTTTACAATAAAAGAGAGAGAACTATCTATTACTTAGTACCACTGATCAATTGTGTAGTCAAAGATTTCTTGAGTGACAAGATTATTAACTACATGCCATCATTTAAAGACAGCAAGTTCTAGGGGGAAATGCTATTATAAACATGAAAACACCAACATTGAACCAAGAAGGAGACTTGAATAGGCTGGGGATGTAGATTGGGGGCAGAGTACTTGATTAGCACATCCAAGACCTTGAATTTGATTCCTTAGGTCTTCCATTAGGTCTTTTTCTCTTTTTATAATTTCATGTTTTCCCATCTACCTTAGCTGCAAAATATATACTTTTGGAATTGTTTTAGTAAGTTACTCTAGAGGTTATAGTATTTTTTCTTATAAATTGATGTTTCACCTTTTCTTAGGTGCTATTATTACATATTTTAATTTTACTGAATGTTACATCTATGTTGTTATATGCCACATGTGACATGCATTAATTCTGTGTACATATGTATCATGTTACACACACATATATAGCACATACAAATTAATACTATCATACATAAAATTAATAATAGCTTCATAAGCCATTATTTTTATCAGTCTGTTTTAGTCTGCTTTGTGCTACTATTGCAGAAATTTATATATTTTTTATTATAAAGATACTGTACAGAGGGATTACAGTTACATGAGTAAGGTAATGCTTGAGATAGGTAATTTATAATGAACAGAAGTTAGCTCATAGTCCTAAAGTACATTGAGCTGACAGCAAAGCCTTTTATAACCAGCATTAATACTATTCATAAAGGTAGAACCTCCTGTTAGGCCCTACTTCCAAAGCTTTTGCATTAAGGATTAAGCCTGTACCATATTCAGAAAAAAAAAAATCAAACCCAAACAAAACATATACACAAACACATAGACACACACACACACACACACACACACACACACACACACACACACACACACACACACACACACACACACACACACACACACACACACACACACACACACACACACACACACACACACACACACGACCAAGATTCTATGAGACTCAGATACTGGCAATCCTTTTGGCTTGAATTATCAAGAGAGAAATTTAGAACATTTATGTTTGGGGTTTTTGTTTTTGGTTGTTGTTGTTTATTTTTGCTGGTACTAAGATTTGAAGTCAAGACCTGAGTGCATTTCCTGAGCTTTTATACCACTTTAAGACATAGCTCCATTTCTAGCTTTTTAGTAGTTAGTTGGAGGTAAGAGTCTCACAGACTTTCCTTCCTGGAGCTGGCTTTGAACTGTGATCCTCAGATCTCAGCCTCCTAAATAGCTAAGATTATAACACCCAGCCAGGAAGATAGGTTTTTAAAAATCACATCCGGACACATTCATAGAGAAATAAAAGTATCAATCAAAGGAAAATCTAAAAAGATGCCAGGAATAAAGTTCTCTTTTAAAGAAAGGGAAAATTATTGACTTCCCAATTACAACAATATAGATAAAACAAAAAATATCTTTAGTGTGCTGAAGTCATGTTAAAAAATCTAAGGTGAAATAAGAACATATCAATCAAAATCTGAGAAGTATGACTAACAATCCCAACTACTAAACCATATTGTAGTATTCTAGATATATTTTAGGTAGAAATAAAATGATCATAAAGAAGATCAGAGAGTAAAAACATTAGTAAATATATAATTTAAATAAAAAGTGAAGGAATAAAAAATTTCTAATTATAGGGCTTAAGAGAATTATAAGCAATGTACATATACAAGGTTGACAGTGATAATTACAGAGAGAACATGTTGAGTTTTAAATATTACTCAGAAGACTACATTAGCACATATATTCAAATATCTAGGATAACTTCAAAAGACACACCACATAGAGTTTAATTTTAAAATGGACAGAGTAAAATGCATGACAGAGTAAAAATGTTTACTAGACATCTTAAGGGTTTTTTTCCACAAAAGCTCAGAAAAAATGAGACATATGAAAGAAAAATACATAAAGATGTGTTTTGCCTTTGACACTCAAATACTTCATAAATTCTATGACAAAGTAATTGTTATCTTCTCACCAATAATTATAAATGAAGATTTAATGAGAGATTACAAATAGATTAACTTTTTGTTGCAAAATAGTTGTGGAAAATCTTTCTGTTATGCTATTTATTTTCTAACAGAAAACACTTGCCTTTTTATCTTCAGGGTTTAGTTGATTCATCAACATATTGACATTATCAGTATTCCAAACCCAAGAATTACTTGTGAAATATTCAAGAAATACCATAGCTTTGTGAAGGCGAGTTATTGTTTTCATCATCCTGTATTGTAAGAAAAATTTACAGATTTATACAGTGTACAATTAGGAAGAATCCCATCACCACCCAATTTACCAGTTTCTCCCATGTAGACATTAACATTAAAATCATTAACATATAATTCATTTTGTGTACCAAACCAGCAGGAAATACGAATATTTCTGCATCTTGGGAGGTCATCTTATAAATCCAAAATGAAAAAAATTAGAAGTAGCAGCAAATGAATACTGCCTAGAATTCTGCTGACATTTGGAATTATCAAAGGATGTATAATACCTTTAAGGTCAAATTTTCTATATGCTAATAAATAGATTCAATTAATTTTTCCTTGTTTTGTTTTCCTTAAACTATTTTAGTTAACATGAATTTACCAAGATTTCCTATGAGTTCATAACACACTTTGTTATAATCTGAACTCATCAGTATTACTGAAGCAAAGTATGCAGAAATATTCGTTTGCCATTTAATCAATTCCATTTCAAAGGGGAATTAAAAAAAAAAAACCTCTTTAACTCCAATGGGTGTCACTCTCAATAATTGGATGTGCTTTGAAATCAATGACTCATGCTGAAAATTTTCTGAAATAGCTATTCACTCAGTTTTCTACATCCCACCCAGATCCCTCCTTTCAGAAATAAGAGACTATAAAAACTTTTTTTTTTTTTTTTTTTTTTTTAAGGGCAAGAGGCCTTAATCTTTTCCTCGGTCATTCACTGTAAGTCACTGAAATCATAACACTAATCCAAGCAGTGACATCTACACAATAGTGATTACCTATGACTAAGTAGGGATAGGACAGAAAAGACTTTTTGAAACTATATACATCAAAACAAATAAAAAAAAAGAACACCCAACTTCTGAAAACAGAAAAATAATTTGTGGAGAAATACTTTTTAAGGAATTTTGTTTACAATCTCACATTAATAATTAGCATGTAGTCTGGACAGACCTCAACTCAGGGTCTTTAGAAATAGGAAACATGGAAGAAAATTAGAAATAGGGCACATTATGAGCTAAGCAATTCTGACAGGACATCAGTACATTAGAAACTCTCAACTAGATTATTTGAAGAAAACAAGACAATATGGACTATGTAAAGACAAAATATTTCCTCAAATAAAGTAATTGCAAAATAAAACTTCCAGTAAACATGAAAAGAATGATCAAATATCAAAAACTGAATCTGAACAGGAAAAATACATTTAGAGAGAAATTGGGATGGGAAAGCTGCACATATTTACAACTAAATTATACCATCACAGCCAATATAGTACATTTGAATCCCATCACAAACACAGATTTATTAACTAACTCCTTTTTCACTGACAATTTTTACCTCTTATCTAAAATTGAATGACAAAATTACTTTAAAATCAATCTGATTCAGTCATTCTGAGAGTAACTACAATTACAAAATAAGGAATTTTCAATCTGTAAAGCAAAACACAAGGGGGGGGGAATTGAAAGGATATATGTTTATCTATCTATGAAATTTACAGTATATTTAATAGGCAATAAAAAGTACTAACCTGAATACTACAGGGATAAAAATATTTTCCTTTAGGGGCTGGGAATGTGGACTAGTGGTTGAGTGCTTGCCTAGCATGCATGAAGCCCTGGGTTCAAGTCCTCAGTACCACATAAACAGAAAAAGCTGGAAGTGACATTGTGGCTCAAATGGTAGAGTGCTAGCCTTGAGCAAATGAGCCCAAGCCCAGGACTGGAAAAAAAATAATTTCCTTTAGAGGAAGGTAATATCTTACTGACCATCTAATCTAGTTTATCAATCTCAGTTACAACAGAGATGCTGAGATAGATAATTCTTTGCTGTGAGAAGTTATCTTCTGCACTAAAAATGCTTCTAGCATCCATGGCCTCTATCCACTAGACAAGTAAAGGGGAGCCAGGAGCCTGCCTATCATTGGGATAATAAATAGCTCCAAATTTGTCAATTTTCCTCAATTGAGAACTGTATCATTAAACAATATCAGGTACAGAGAAATCAGTATATAGAATTTAAACTAGACAACCAAAGAACAAGGCCACAAAGTTTTTATTTTTTTAAAAAAAGTTTTTAACAGTGATGAAATGTTACATGGATTTCAAAACCTAGAAGTGCTAATTCTAGTATTTCAAGAACTATACTACCTTTTCATACATCCTGGTCCCCATTATTAATCAAGAATCCATGATAGGTGTAAACCAGTGTTTCATGCCTGTAATCCTAATTACTCAGAAGACTGAAACCTGGATGATTGTGGTTTGAAGCAAGCCTAGGCAGAAAAGTCCACAAGACTCTATTTCTAAAATAAACAACAAAAAAGGCCAAGCTGGAGGTAGGATCCAGTGGTAGAATGCCAGGAGTAAGCAAGCAAGCTAAGCAAGAACATGATACCCTGAGTTTAAACCCTGATACTGGCACACCAAAAACAAAACAAAACAAAAAAAACCCACCAGGCTGGGGGTGTGGCTCAAGAGGTAGAACCAACTTAGCAATCTTGAAGTTCAGAACCCAAACCCTAGCACCACTTTAAAAAACATTAAAAATATGAGTAAAGTGGATTACATTAGTTTAAGTATAATGAGGTATTTTTAAAGATCCCAATGTAAGATATAAAGTCCACTATCTTGGATCAGCAAATATGTGAAAAAATTAAATAAATCATGAAGACTTTATACTTGAACGTTTGTAAAACTAGCTAAGTAAAAAAAAATATGTTCCTTGTTGCTTGTAAACGATAGGTCAATATGACCCTGCTTTTAGAAAGCTTTAGGACAAATCTCAGGCAAGATATTTTTTACTTGCTGTTTTCTATTTGAGAATGTGTTTCATTTCCAGACATAACTATGGTTTTATCTCATCCTACATGCTTATCTAGCATGTCATGTAGGTTTCTGTCTCATTAAGAGTAGAAGGTAATATATCCATTGGAATGAAGCAAAAGTGACACTTGACTCTTCCGAGGTTTGGTCAGAGAAGCTGATAGGAGTTTTCTGCCTTACTCACTGGAATACTCACCCTTGAAGACTTCAGTCACCTTGTATGCTGTCCAACTCCCCCTGAGGCTGCCATGCTGTGAGGAAGCGTAAGCTAGTCCATGTGCAGACAACACACATGGAAAAAGCTCTCAGACTACATGAAGAAAGAAAGTTGCCTGTCCATCCAAGTTGCTTTATACCTTTCTTCTTTACCAATCTATCCATAGCATACCTGCCCCAGTTCCTATCTAACTATATCTCCACTTACTGGATTCCTCAGCCAGAATCACCTAGCCAAATCCTTCTCAAATCCTGACCCAAAGAAATTATGACACATAAACAAGTAATGGTTGTTTTAAGATACTATGGTTGCGATGATTTGTCAAGTAGTAAACAGTAACAGATCTTAGTACTAGGAATGAGAGGGCACTCTACAAAAGAAATCTACAGTGAGAATACTAGCTCAAATTATGTAAGGTCCTTGAATAACTCATTTTTGAAATCTGGAAGGAACAGGAAAAGTGTTAGTGGAAGGATTATAGGGCTTTAAGGAGGCTGTTGATGAAGGCTTCACGTGTAAATAGGACAGGGGCTATGGTTCAGTGATAGAGTGCTTGCCTAGATAAAGTACTGAGTTCCACTTTTAGCAATGCATACAATGCACATGCACACACAGCGAAATATTGTTGGAAACTGGGAGAAAAACCCCAACTGTCACCCATGATAATATGGGAAATAGTAGAAACCATACTGATAAAACTTTACTTAGTGAAGATATACTGATATAACACAAATGCTCTTTAAAAATAAACTATTTGTTTGCATATACATAGATTTAACTTCATGAAATTTTGAGGAAGTATAAAATGCCAGCCAGGAATGCCTTAGAAATGGTTCTGAAATCAGTGTGCACCTGGTTGCACATGTGTATACATGTTTGTCCACATATCCTAAGCTTTCCGCTGGCAATGGTGCATTGAGATGAAGCAGATGAGTGGAGTTGTAATGCTTGGTGGTGCTGAACAGCAGCAGCATAGTTCACTTCCATCATTTCATAGGGCTTTGTTGAGATAAATATGTGAGAATATCAGAGAACTGCCCAGATTCTCACTTGGAAAAATTATTCTTTTCCTGTGTGGACTGCAACATTGACACTAACTCTTGTCATCATCAGTCAGTTTGCCAAGACTGCCCAGAAAAGGGTGAGTCAGTAAGCTATCTCAGGGAAGAATGACAGAAGCAACGGATTTGTCACTTAGCATATTGAAGGGCCATTTAGGGGAAGGTCATCAACCCACTGTTGGGTCAGTATTGAGCTATTTACCAAGTCTGTTGGTGCTAAAAATAACAGATAAAATGTTCAAAAATTTTTATTCATTTGGGATTCAGAAACTCTAGGTTGTATCACATCAATTATTCAATATTCAATATGTGAAATTCCAAGCAGGGTAGGGGGGAGGGAGGGAGGGGTTTCTGAGCACAAATCAAATTCAAGGTAAGGATGTAAGACTCTTTTAAGATTTAGGATGACCAATGGTAGTGCCTCGTAGAAACTTTCAGACACACAAAAGGCTATCTCCGGGTTGTAAAAACACAGCAAGCCAGGTATCAGTGACATACACCTATAATCCTAGCTATTCCAGGAGGCTGAGATCTGAGAATCATGGTCCACAGCCAGTCAGGCAGAAAAGTCCATTAGACTCACGTCCAATAAACTACTCAAAAAAAGTCAGAAATGGAGCTGTGGCTCAAATGGTAGAGCACTAGCCTTGAGTACAAAAAGGCTCAAGGATAGCACCAAGGCCATGAATTCAAGCCTCAGGACTGGCAAAAAATAAAAATAAAAAAATCATACAGCAAAGAATCTTTATTTGAAAGGCAGGCTCTAAGGAGGCAAGCATTTTTGATCTAAAGGTGCTTTCCCATAGCAACCTTATAGGAGACCCAAGATGAAGAAATGTTCTCAAAAAGAATATGGCTTTGGTTTAATGGGATGTATTGCTTTAAAACAGATATACTAGAAACTCACATAAATGTCAAAGCAACAAAATCAATTTATATGTAAAGTAGAAAAGTGTACAAAAATAAAAGGACTCTGTATCAGAAGTCAGCAAACTTGTGTCTATACACTATAGCTAGACTAACATCTGTTTTGATAAAAGTTTTACCGGAACACTATCATGCTTATCATATTGTATATGGCTGCTTTCATTTTTAACAGCAGAGTTGAAAACTAGTAATGGAAATAATATGACCATAAAGGTTAAAGTATTTACTACATAGCCTTCTACAAAAAAATAAAAATAAAAGTTTATTGACCCTTGTCCTAGACTCTAACTTTTTTATGGCAAGAATCAGAGTAAGTAGCCTATTTAGTTTTACACATAGACCATGTTCTTTTAATGGGAAGAGGGGGAAAAAACACAAATAGGGGCTGGGAAGGTGGCTCAGCAGTAGAGCACTTGCCTTGCATGCATGAGGCCCTGGGTTCGATTCCTCAGCACCACATAAGCAAAAAGAAAAAAGCCGGAAGTGGTGCTGTGGCTCAAGTGGTAGAGCGCTAGCCTTGAGCTGAAGAGCTGAGGGACAGTGCCCAGGCCCAGAATTCAGGCCCCACGACTGGACCCCCCCCCCTAAAAAAAAAAACATAAATAGGGAAGAACCAAGAGCCTTTAGAAACCCAGAGAGTAGAAGCCCCATTCTAGAAATTCAGACTCGACTTTAGAATTGCTATAGATCCGTGTTTACTGTGTGCCTCATACTTTCTTCATTTTGCAACAACATTGTCTGATGCCAATTATCTTTCATTATATAGAAAGCATATGGATAGCTGGTAACTTGCTTTGAGTTAACAGGTTTTCCAATTAATACTTGGAAACTATATTTGTACTACCACTCCTAAACAGCTTTATCTTCATCTGGATCTAACTTAAATAACAAAAACACTGTCCTCAAGCTGATGATGCAGGTATGTGGGTGGAGAAGCAACTGTATTTTCAAAGTGGGAGAAATGTGAATTCTGTGGGACAGACAGAAGTTTGACTGTAGTTGACTGTAGCCTCCAATAATGTCTGAAATTACATTATCTGCTCATTTAAAACATGACCTTGACTGTTGTCTATATCATCATTCCTGAAATCTAGGATTTATAATATACTTACTACTAAGAAACAATGCAAAAGTGAAAATACGTAACTTTCTTAAGTAGGTCAGAAGAAGCACTGTAGTTTCTACTTTATTTGCTGAAGGTATCCCTTCCCCCATCCCTTCGACTGCCTTCTGAAGCCTTCTGCTGCCATTGAAGACATTTATTCCCTTTAAAGCTACCACTAGGCTTTGTAAAGAGCCTACATGGGGTAATCTTGACGCAACATAAGGAAATAAGTACAGCTGATTCCTTTCCAAATTCCTGAGAAATAAATTTAAAGTGATAATAAAATGACCATTGTGATTTTAAGCACTAAGGTTGAGATAATTTGTTATGCAGGAATAGACTCCGACTCATTTAGTGGACTCTGGCTATTTTTTTTATTTACTGATAAGCTTTCTCTGCAAAGCACCGTGATATGCTAATCTATCTTACTTGTTTGACTTTTCTGTTTTACACTGTAACTATTAACACAAAGACTATACACTGCTATCATTCACTAATCTTCATCTGATTGTTAGCTACAAAAACAATGTTACTGATGAAAAATGTTGTTTTTTCAGAGCATTGTAGAAAAGTTTGAAAATGCTTTCTTTAAAGCTATTTGATTCAATATTTGTCAATGTTAGCCATCAGCTCCAGAAGAAACAATCTTTGCCCATGCTCTTGACCTGATGCTCTCATCCAATTATTACACTAAAGAGTGGGGAATGTTAGCCCAATAGGCTCCTCTCTCATAGCTCAGCATGCTCTTTCCCTAGGCAACACTAGGTCCATTTAGTAAAGGCAGTAAATGATTAGCCTCTACCCACTAACCTGAGAAGGCTCTCCTTTGGGATAGCTATAACAATATAAGGCAGCAAGATCCCCTAAATCTCACAAGTTGTACAGGTCACCAGTAAGGGCACTCTTTTGGGGCAGCTATAACCATATAAGGCAGCAAGATTCCCAAAACCTTGTAGATTATAAAAGGTCACCTGAGGCAATAGCTGGCACTTCTTCTCCCTTCTGAGAAGGGGTCTCGCCTGCCTCTTTACTGGCAATAAACCTTTTCTTTGTGCTTTATACCTGGATGTGTGAGTGGTTTTTCTAGTAAAGTTTAATTTACTCTAACAATCAAATATTTCAATCAGTAACAAATAGGGTTAGGGACATGAACAAGTGAATCCACAAAAAATCCCTACAATTAACTCAAATCCTAATATATTTTAAGTGGCAGATAACTCACTTCTATTTTGTGAGCTGTTGATAAAAGTTTTATAATCAGCATCTTTATACATATTCAAATCCTGAAGTCTCCAACTAACAGCAACACTGTAATGCCAATGTAGTTATAAAAATAAATGCTTTTGTAGCAGGTTTTTCCTATAATTGTGTGATTAAAACAGCAGAACTTTTTATATGAGGTTCCAATGGAAAAAAGTAAAAAAGAAAAAAGAAATAATGACTATTACAATGATAAGAAAATAACAAGTTTTCTGTTTAGCTTTTTTTTCTAACTATGCCATTCCCAATTTGGAAAATTAGTCAAAAACTGTAATTACCATATTATAAGCTGAATAGGCAGCTAAGATATTTCAAGATATTAATCTAGAACCACCCTTTTTTTTTCATATAAACTATGCCGTCCACTTAAAGTGTAACAGTTTACCCTTAATCCCCTGTAAAAACTCATCCCTAGATTTTTAAGAGTGATAGGAAAAGGACTCAATTTCAGCTTATAATAACAATGACAACCCTGATGTAGGATATTTCTTATTTTTATGGGATTTTGGAGAAATTAATGACTCAATAAATTCACATCCATAATTAGTCTCCCCAAATATCTCCCATTTCTAAGAAATGTCCTAACATCCTGATTGTAATTGTGATTAATCAGGTTAGTAATGCTACAGGTAAAGCTCATGCTAGCGACATTTTGTCTCTCCAGCAAGCTTCTACCACCTTACCAATACATAGGGCATTTACTGCTATTCTTCTTACCACGGTTTCTGACCTGTCAACCTGAGTGCAAGATCGAGCAATAATGCAGGTACTGTATGTCTGACACCCTTCCAATAATGAAGCAATAGGTTGTTGGTATAGAATTTAATATTGGGGTGCCTGACCACTTGGTTTAAAGGATTCATCTTGAAGGAATGGTTTAGATAATAGCCTGTAGGAAAAATAAGCGTCAAAGCACTTTGAATATTATTCATTATTGGGAAAAGCACCTAAAGTTAAACCTAGAATTCAAACACATGACAATAGTTTATCATGCAAACTTTAGATTAAATTAGTGACTTACAACACTACCTTTGTTTTTGTGACAAAGCCTTAAATTCAAGTCTTCTCATTCACGAAAGGCCATTAAGCCTTATCATAAGCATAAACAGATATAGAGTTAATGTGCATTTTAGTGTAAGCATGGTTGTTTTAACAGTCAGAGGAACAGATAAGACAGAGCTAGTCACCATTACCTTGGGCTTCTTCCAGTCATCCTGAGGTAGATATCATACAGGAATGCTGGGGCCTTATGGCTTACAGCAATCCAGTAATGATATAAAAGGTGATTGGAGGTTAGATTTACATTGGGCCGTCTGAAGGCCTGTTCGAGAGGATTCCTCTTGAAAGTGGAAATTACATGGTATTCTGGGGAAGAAAAGTTGTGTAACAGCTTTGATAATAACCATGTAATCAAGTTTTGAAAAAAAAAAAGTCATGTTTTTACACTGCAAAATATTTTCACCAAAGATGCCAGAAGGCAATCATTAAAAAAAATAAACTTTTCTACTCTCTGTTGTAGCTAAGAGAATATGGGTATTTGATACTGACTCAAGAAGTCTTTGAACTACCACTATTTTAATTTGTTGAATGAATTTTTTCTAAAATTCACTCTTAAAAAATCTTTTTAATGTTTTACCTATGTCAGTTTACAATGTCACTCTCTATATTTCACTTTTCACGGGAGCTTCTTTCTTTCTGTTCCTCTTTCCAGATTCTTATTACTGTACTCACTTAAAAAGAAAAGGAAATTACCATCCTTTGCTTATGAATGATTAATTTGCTTAATTTTGCATACATCAAACAAGCTTAAAACAACCCAAAACTAAACTACTGTAATTTATTCAGGTTATTTAATGCCAACACAATCAAACTTGGTATCTTCTATGGTAGTACTTTAATGGACACATATATCGAGATATTATCTAAAAAATAATGGTAAATTTGACTTTTTCACAAGACTTTACAGCATAATAAACTCAAAGTATTTATATATTCTTGAAATAGTATTACTTAAAAATAGTATAAAAGTACACGTTTCTTTTTCTTACATTCTCTAATGGTCAAAAATGCCATGGAAAAACCCTAGGAAAAATGTTATTAAATATTTACTTTTAAGAGAGCTGTGCATGGTGGCCCACGCAAGTAATCCCAACACTTGGGAGGTGAGAAGATTACAAATTTGAGGCCAGCCTGGGTTACATGTCGAGTTCCAGACCAGCCTGAGCTACATAGTTTGACCCTGTCTCAAAAAAATACATAGGGTAGGGATGTAGCTCAGTGCGGCTTGCCTGCCATCTGTAAGCCTTGGGTTCAAGTCCCAGTTTTTAGCTTGAAATTGAAATTGTTCTGCAGGGATAACAAAAATTATTCAATTAGAAGTAAAATGAGAGCTAAATAAATTACCAAATAATTGATTTAGCAACTGACAATGATTACTAAATATTATAGATTTCACTTTAAATTTGAGTCACCATCCAACAATTAAAAGCGATTCTACTGAACATTCTTAAATTATTTTATCTTTATTTAAGAACTAGTTAACATATACACACTACTGCTGCAGATCTGTGAATCTAAACAGATTAATAAATGTCACCAGAATATATTCTGGAAAAATGTATTCCACTTCCTAACTCCTCTATTTATAACTTTATTAACCACTTGATATACAAACTCCTGTAGATGGAAGTGATATTGCCTACAAATTGGCACAATCAAGTTTCAGGCTGCTCACAAGGGAGAATAAAGCACTGTTCCCGTGCCATAGACAATCTATGCGGTTGCTGCAGATGGCAAAAGGGTATAGTGGATAGGAATATACAGGCTATTTTTATGAAATATTATGAAAAATGTACCACAAAGCAGTGCTGCAGTGTAGCTTATTACTTCTAAAATGACTATTACAATTAAAACAAAAGGGTAATTTAGTGGCCTAAATGCCTCAAGGGTATTCTAGTACTAAAAACTCAATGACTATTTTAAATTGTTTAAGATACATTCTAACATTCAAAAACAGATAAAATCATACCAACTTCACCCCAGTGGAAAGGATTGGTGCTGCCTGTTGTACAATTATACACCATGATGTTTCTTGGTCTGCAAAAACAAAGATGAAAGTAATGAAACATAGAAGCAGACAAACTTGTCCAATCTAAATCTTACATAATATTAAAGTGGGAAAACACAAGGATGATGGGTACCGTTTCACTATTACATAAAAAAACTATCCTTTAAGGATTAGTTTTAATTTGATGACTATAACTGCCCTTTATCCCTCTTGTGCCCTAAAAAATAATAAATGCAGATTTTTTTCTTCCCACACTTTTCTTCCTTGCATTGTTATGAGTAGTGTGTTTCATTTATAAAAATAATAAATCAGAAATTTATAAAAATAAATCAGCTTTTCCTGTTTAATTTTCCTTGGAGACTAAGTCCCCTTTTACCAAAAATAAATATTCATAGGTTCATTTTCCTCCTTTTTTATTATTTAGTGACTTCAAAAATAAGTTTAGTAAGTTAATGGGAAACAAAGTTTAGTTATTATTTGCAAATGCTACTACTACCTCTTAGAAGGATTTTTAGGGGATAACAAAAGATCATAATTAAATGATGATTAAAGCTTCTCTAACTAGCTAACACATGTAACCATTGTCTATGAATTTCAATTCTTTATAAATGTCAAATTTATACCAAGTTTATATCACCCTTGGTGAGAACTTATTTTTCATTTTTAATTCTAATTAACTTGTGTATTCTTTCTTATAGTTCATGAAAATTAAGATTAATTCATTACTATCGATAGGCTGACTTGCTATTATTGCCTGTGATATACCAACCTGTACAGGTGGCAGTGATACTGCCTAGAATTATATAACTGTATGGTACTATCAGGACTAATGGGTTAATTAACATTAGTAGCTTCTTTTTCCCTTCTCAGTTACTATATATTTAATAAGCGACATTGTCACTTTATATACCTATTAACTCCGGAATACCAGGCTGCCGCAAGACTCGTGTTGACAACTACATCTACAGGAACAAGATCTGCAAGGGCATTGTTGGAGGCACGCATTGTTCGAAGAATTCCTTTCCCTGCCTTTGTTGAAATTAAAAACAACACCTTAAGATATATACGCCAAAGTGCGTGTGTGTATATATACATTCATATATATATACACACATATAAAGTTATACAAATATCAAATAAATCATGAAGTTTACTTACCGCAATAAAGAGACCACTTGGTCCATTAAAGTTATCAATCCATCCCTAATGCCAAAAATTGAAAAAAAGGGGAGGGAACTTAGAATTAATATAAACCTAGATTTATTGTTTGAAATCCAAACCTCAAATATACACTTAGTTTTCTTCCATAAACCAGAAAAATCTAGATGTAGTCCATAACACTGTTTCTAGTGACAATTAGAAGTAGTTTTCTTTTGTGAATATAAATGATTAAATAGGGATTACCTACTCTTTCCTAACTACAAAAGGAATTTCAAAAGGACTGTATACCATCAATTACCTTTGCTAAATGAAGCTTATTTACATTTGGTTTTATGCTATTTATTAATACAGTACCCTGACTAGGAAAAAATGATAGTAAACCCTCTGCCAATTTGCTGAAGAAAAGAGGAAACAATAATTATCAAAGCAACAAGAGATGCTATCATTTACTATCATTATATAGACCTAAGTATTTCCTGTATCTATTTATGTATTCATTTATATTTCTGCTTTCTTTTATTGTAGGAATTTTCAAATACCATAACATCTTGTTTCTTCTTAAGAGCAAGTTATCAAAAACAATCTCTTATACCTTTCTTGGCTTTTTGAGCAGAACAGGTAGAGATCTACCTCTTAGAGGGCCTACCTCTTTTCGGTAATAAAAAGAAAATGAAATCATGGTCTCTGCTACTTAAGACATCCCAATTTTTTTAATTTATCTTTAAAATGTTGCTCTATATTTCTATAAACCGAAGATAGCATTAAAAATAAAAGCATTAATAATACTATGTCTTCCTATGATCAGTTTTTCCACAGTAAGCCACATTCAGCAGTACCTCTCTGAAATCAAACCACTAACTCTTTTTATTCAGTTATGATTTAAAGTTTTCAATTCCAATTATTTAAAGGTTTCTAATAACTTACTGGAAAAGGTTCTTTCCAACTGGCACCAACAATCGACGGTCTTACAATTGCCACATTTAGCTTCGCTCCTTCTTGTTGTACAACGTATTCTGCCAATGCTTTCGTGTATATGTATGTATTAGGTCTATCTCCTATCAATTTTGGTGTGATATCATTTACTAGGCCATCATCCATCCATCTGGTGAACAAAAAAATGTATATAAAAGTATTTCCAGATGTTTTATTAAAGAATAAAAAATACTTCATTGAACATTGCACCTCCAAACCCATCGTTGCTCTGACTCAATGATTTAACAGTAACTTTCACTATCTTTAAAAATAGAAGATAGTTTCATTAAGCATCAATTTACAGATATTTCTTCCACAAATCCTTATCTGCAAGTTCAATATCCAAAAACATCTGAAAATTGTTCTTTCATAAATCATATGATAATATCAAAACCTTATCTCAACCGATTTAGGGAAGATTAAAAATACTATTTAGAGCTTAAATATTAATAAACTTCTTATGTGTTTGAACAGAAATGGCACCCCAGGCTAAACTGAAGTTATTTCATATTGTATCTTTCAAACTTACATATTACAGAGTACATAAATTTCCTTTACAAAGTTGAAATAAATCCCAAAATATATCTTGTCTCAATGTTTCAGATTAGGAATTTTAGATTTATAGATAACCACTTAACACAAAGTAACATGATAATTATATACATTTGTAATCAATATTTATAGTTAATATAAAAGGCCTAATAATCTACATAGTAAACCATTGAAATTGTATATCCCCACAAGTGAGACTTAACTAATAGCATAAACAAGAACAAGAATATTAATTAAACTGAAGGGAGAAAGCTATTCAATTCAGGAAAAATTCTACAGAAGAGAAAAGTTTTACAAACATGGATAGTTGAAAGGTGGGTAAACAACTTTGTGGGAGATTTTGGTCACTAGAATTACAGAGCAAATCCATGAATTATCTAAGGTTATATTTTAGTTAGAGAGATTCTTGTAAGTAAGGAATGAAGGAAGAGAGATTTCGTTTACAAGCTCTTTTTCATTTCCTTGCATATGCCAAGAAAAACAATATGCATTCATTAATGTCTACACTAACTTTCTCCCAGAGATGGTAAACACTCTGTCTACTAACCTGTGAGGAAAATGAAGTATATATTTAGGACCATCTGAGAAATAGTCATAAAATAGCCAGAGAATTGCTAAAAGAATTTTCAGTAATCTCAATTGTTTTTATAATCTGCCTCTTCATAATGATTAACAGGAAAGTCTTCTTTAATTTTTTTTAAAGGACTTGTGTGCTTATTTCAGAGAAAGCAGAGGATGGTAGGTTCAAAAGTGAATAGAATGTCTGAGAACAAAGGAACCTAAGGAGAGACAGAATAAGAGGAAAAACATCCCATGCAGAGATATAAAGATTAACAAATATGTCAAGATATAAAGAATGCTGGAAATATTTTTATAATTGTAGCCTATACAAAAGAACTTCTTTTTCTTTTTTTTCTTTCTTTCTTCATTTTTTTCTCTCCTAATGTTATTTGTTTCACATGGAAAAAAAGCATAGATTGGAGCAAATGAGAACTAGGACCATGGTGTATGCATACTTCATTTAACCCCCATTTGTCAAATACCAATTTATATAGTAATTACTGAAAGTAAAATGTACTTAACAGTATACTGTAGGGACAATGAATTAACCTCTAGGGACATGAATGAAAGGACTATAGCTCTTTTTCCCTAATAATTTAAAAGCTCTCTATAGATACTGAAGTAGTACTATAATAAATTAGAATCTTGCTATTAAATACTTGGTCTCCATAAGAAAGTATGACCTGCTGACCTGGAAAATAAAACCCCTAAAATCATGAAAATGATTCCTTGTAAAAAATAAAAGCCCTACACTGACATCACCAGCAAACGGATATAAATCTATACAATAAGAACACAGGTTAACAATAACTTATTGAATAAAGGAAGATATAAATTTTAAGTCCTGGGTACATATGTGTCAGTATCTGTATGTGTTGAAGAAGAGAATGAAAAACAGATAGACTTGGATCCAAAGTTTAAAACAATGTTTAAAATCGTAAAACAAACATACTCTAAAGAATCAATCAGCTTCTTGGGATCTACAGGGGGTGGATAGACTACTTCATCAATATGCTTCCGATTGCAGTAGGCATATGCTGTTGACACATGCATGAATACTTCCAGATTCTTCATTTGTTGTGCAAGGAGAATAAGCTGTCGCGTAGCAATCACGTTTAACTGAACAGCATCTCTATAAAAGGAAATGACAATGAAATATTGACAACCTATTTTAGTATTTGTTTAAAAATCTTATTTCCAGGGCTGGGAAGGTGGCTCAGTGGTAGAGTGCTTGCCTTGCATGCACGAGGCCTGGGTTTGATTCCTCAGCACCACATAAGCAGAAAAAGCCAGACGTGGTGCTGTGATTCAAGTGGTGGAGGGCTAGCCTTGAGCTGAGAGCTTAGGGACAGCGCCTAGGCCCAGAGTTCAGGCCTCACAACCGACAAAAAATATATTAACTAAATAAATAAGTAAATCTATTTTCAGTAAAAAAGATAGAAACAGAGGGATGTTTGTATCCTCCACCTGTTACTTTTGGAGCAGTTTGCGCTTTGAACTCAGAGCCTTTGTTTGCTAGGCAAGTGCTCTACCACTGGAGCCACACCTCCTGTTCTGTTTTTATAGCTTGTTTTTCAAATAGGGTCTCACACATTTGCAAGATGTTGGTGCTAGAGTGCAATCATCCTGCCTTCATCTTCTGAGTAGTTGGTATTAGCTGTACACTACCATTCCTAGTTAATTGAGATATGATCTTTCTATTACATAAGCTGGCCACAAACTGTGATCCTCCTCCCAAGTAGCTATGATCATAGGCTGGCAGGTTTTTGATTCTTTACAATTTAGCCTTTAGCTCTGACTTGTGTATTTTATTTCAAAATAAGTATATTTATTCTACCAGTTGTGTATAAAAACAAATTTTTTTATTATAAAATAAAACTGCACTGTAGGAATTAGAAAATAAAAATACAAGCTGTGTGCTAGTGGCTTACATCTGTAATACTACCTACTTAGGAGGCAAAGACCTGGCACATGGTAGTTCAAAGCTAGCCTGGGCAGAAAAATCTGTTAGACTCTGTCTCCAATTAATCAGAAAAATGGTGGCCTAGATGTGCCTCAAGTAGTAGAGTGTCAGCCGTGAGCAAGACAGTTGAGAGAAATCATAAGGCTTTGAGTTCAAGTCTTGGTGCTGGCTCAAACGATAGATAGACAGATAGATAGATAGATAGATAGATAGATAGATAGATAGATAGATAGATAGATAGATAGATAGATAGATAGACAGATCTACATAGAGAGATAAAAATAGATATATAGATCTACATCTACATCTCTCTAGATGTATATCCAATTAGCTCTAGATTTAGATATATAGCCATAGCTTTATTTCTGGTATATATACCCTTAGATAATTTCAGTCTTTTGCTTTTATGTTTGCATCCTGAAATCACACTGCGTTTCTTTTACATCTTTTTTAAAGATGTAAAAGTGAGAAAAAGCCAGGTACCAATGGCTCACGCCTATAATCCTGGCTACTCAGGAGGCTGAGATCTGAGGATCACGGTTCAAAAACAGCCTGGGCAGGAAAGTCCATGAGACTCTTATCTTCAATAAACCACCAGAAAACCTGAAGTGGCACTGTGGCTCAAGTGGTGGAGCACTAGCCTTGAGCTGAACAGCTGAGGGACAGCACCCAGGCCCAGAATTCAAGCCCCAGGACTGACAGAAAAAAAAAAGTGAGAGATTTACAGAGATTACTACAATAAATCTGTTAAAACAGTATATGTAAGATCCAAAATGATCTATACATTCCCTTCTTGGAATTCATGTAAAGTAAATTTTACAAAAGCAGGAACATATATTCAGGAAAGAATTCAATGAAGCATTCTACTAATAACAAAAGCACAGCGAGTCCAAATATTCACCATGAACGAACTGGTTAAATAAAGAATACAGCCATTCAAATAATCCTATAAAAACTATGAAAAGGTGGAAATCTTTATGAATAATACAAAAATGCATACACTGTGATGTAAAGCAGGATTATGAAGAAAGCTCTAGAATCAGACTGAGTTTAAATGTTGGTGTGGTCTACCTAAGAGCTAAGGTATAAAGCTATTCAATCACTTGGAGCCTCAGTTTCCTCACCTATAAATGGAAACAGTACTCAGCTTCTTAGATAATAAATTTAAGAGAACTGCAGTTTGAGACTAGCCCTGGCAAAAGTCAGTAAGACCTTACCCCCAAAGAACAAGCCACATATTGTGTGTGGCTCATGTCTATAATCTCAGCTACAGGAAAGGTATAGGTAGAGTGACTGAGGAAGAGGTCCAAAACTGGCTCTCAGGCAAAAGTACAAAACATTATCTGAAAAATAACTAAAGCAAAAGGGCTGAAGGCAGAGTCCAAGTAGCAGAACATTTACCTAACTAGTAAGTGCAAGTTTCTGGTATAAGCCCCAGCAATACTGGAGAATAAAAATAAAAATAAAATAGCAAGCAAGAACTTAGTATTATTCCTAATAGTCTCCAAAGAAGCAGCCAATGAATACTAAGATAAAGAATGGGTGAGTAGTTTTGTTTCTTATTTTGTAATGGTTGATTAAGAAATCTTTTACACCACATGGTAACCATAGTTGTTAATGCTGTATTATAGAAAATCACTAAAAGCAGATTTTAAATGTTGTACAGCAAAAATGTGAAGCTATGCATATATTAGCTCAATTTAGTCATTCCATGTATTTCAAGACACCAAGTGTTCTACACAATAAACATAAAATTTTGAATAATTAAAAATTAATAAAAAGGGGGATACAATACAAATAATAAAACAGGAAGACTATTACATTCCTGGTAATACTGCAAATTAGTATTACTCATCTAAAGGGAACTGTGAAAAAGTATCTGAATTACAGAAGTGCTGTATATCTAATTAGCCTAATTCTCAAAGAAATAACTTACTTGGACTCAGATTTTTCAAAAAAGAAATGAAAATTCAATAAGTTCATTATACAAAGTCAAAGTTACAGACTGTTATATATCAATATGACAATATCATGTCATTAAAATACTCAAATTATACACATTAAAAATTGAAAATATGGCTGGGCATTGGTGGCTCACACATATAATCCTAGCTACTCAGGAGGCTGAGATCTGAGGATGGCGGTTCAAAGCCAGCCCAGGCAGGAGAGACCGTGAGACTCCTATCTCCAATAAACAACCAGAAAACCGGAAGTGGCGCTGTAGCTCAAATGGTAGAGCGCTCACCTTGAGCTGAAGAGCTGTGGGACAGCGCCCAGGCCCAGAGTTCAAGCCCCAAGACCGACCAAAAAAAAAAAAAAAAAAAAAAAAAATTGAAAATATGGAAGTTGTTTTTTTATTTTAAATTTAAAAAGAAAAACTAGAAAGTTTATGTTCACAGTTAGGTAAAAACAATATACATTAACACAGAAATCAAAAGGAAGTTTTTACAAAAACTGAAAATAAGAAAGGCCAGGATATGGCAGATAGAATCTAGCCCATCTGATTTTATAGCAGTACTTTGATGTCTATCTTGTTTGCAAAACAATTAGAATGGGGAGGATACTGTTTGGGAAGAGGTATACTGAGAATATTTTGTTACAAGTTCCCTAGAACTGGACAGTGAGTTCTGGGTCACCAGAAACAAAGAGTAACTCATGAAAGAACACACACACACACAGAGTTCTCCTGTACCTTTTTTTTTTTCCTTTTAATAGTATCTGAGGTACTATTAAAAAAAAAAATCACTAGAAGAAAAATTTAACTGAAATTGAAGTGGTGGACTTAAAATCATGTGTGTACTTTCTTTTCCCTAGTAAGTATGTGTGTGTTTGGGGGTGGGGGTGGGAGGATGGTGATCTGCTCAAATGGATAGCCAGTAAGAAAGACATTTCAGAGAGAAAACTAGCTATAGGAGGATTAGGGAATGTGCTATTTTCTTTTGCAAAACAATGAGGATAGAGCAATGCTTTGGTCCAAGTTCACAAGGGATACTCTATTACTTATCTTGAGGATGGTGATAGTGTTTCTGGGTCATTTGAAAAGAAAAGAACCACTTGAGACACACACACGTCTGTGCCTTGCTTCTCTCTACTTCATTTGTACCTAACAGCCCAAATCTGAAGCCACTTTTGTACTCAGTTAACCTTACTCCATTTTGCAAGTTCATTTTTTCAGGCTCTTAAGTGTTAGATCAGAAAGTATTTAGTACTGAACAAAAATAATACTATCATTATATTTTGGCTACAATGAGTCATGAAAGCATTTTAAGACAGGCTTTTGGTAAATGACAGGTTGAGCAAATTATGATATAGTCCCATGCTAAAGTAGAAAGAAACCACTCCTTCCCTCCCAAACCCCCCCCCCACCCCCGAAAAAGAAAAATAAGCAACTTGAACTGATAATCAATTTTTTTGTTGTCCTCTACAGATAACCCAAGTTCTTCAAAAACCACTCCTGGGTCATATGTCAGATACTTAACAAGATTTGAAATGACTTCTTGCAAAGTACATTTCAATTAAGTTCCTTAAGCTATGTGTTTTATGGGATTTTTGTTTTGTTTGCCAGTACTGGGGCTTGAACTCAGGGCCTGGGCACAGTCCCTGAGCTTCTTTTGCTCAAGGTTAGCACTCTACCACTTGAACCACAGCGTCACTTCTGGCCTTTCCTGTTTATGTGGTACTGGAGAATCGAACCCAGGGCTTCATGAATGCTAGGCAAGCACTCTACCACTAAGCTACATTCCCAGCCCCTCAAGCTATTTTGATGTCTTTTTCCCACTCTTTTCATCCCAGAGAAAAATGACTGAATGAGATCCTATCACTGTTGTAAAGCCTGCTTAAAACAAACCAACAGCAAGCCTCACCACAGTAACATAACAGTAATGGATTATGAAATCAATCTCAAGGAAGAACAGTATCTTTTGGGGGGAAGGGGAGGGAATAGTTGTGGGACTTGAACTTGGGGCTTGAGTGCTGTCTCTGTGCTTTTTCACTTAAGGCTAGCACTCTACCAACTTTGAGCCGCAGCACCATTTCTGGTTTCCTGGGGGTTAATTGGAGATAAGTATCAGGGACTCTCCCGACTGGGCTGGATTCAAACTATGATCTCAGCCTCCTGCATAGCAGGTGTGAGCCACCAGTGCCCCAGAGCAGTACTTTTAAAGATGTTTCTAAAGCCTATTCTCAGAGTACTTGTTCTAAAGGTACAATCAAAATAAAGTCCAACAGCGACTCATCACACACACACAATACTCTTGTTAGAAATGAGGATTCCAGGGTGTTATTCCACATATAGAAGGTCAGAATTTGGCAAGTACAGCCCAAGAGTCTGTATTTTAAAACATTTTCCAGTTATTTATTTAATTTTATTTTGAGGATAGAAAAGGGCAGGTAATAGCTGTAATACTTTTGTTTTTATGCTAGACTTTTCTATGCCAATACTGAAGACAAGTTCGCAGGCCAAAAAAGAACCAGAACAACCAGTCAGCACAAAATCACCACCAAAAACTAGGATTGGGTCCATGCCCTTCCTTGCATTTTCAAGTAAATCTTAAGATTTAACACATTCTAAAGTTTGCAAAGCATTTCCTTAATCTTAATCTTTTCTAATCATAAATATTTACTTCTGTTTCTTTTGGAAACCTTCATCCATATACATGTTCTGGGCCTTTATAACCCAGACTTACCCCCATTTCTTTTGTTTTTTTTTTTTGGGGGGGGGGGTTTGGTTGTTGGTTTGTTTGGGGTTTTTTTGGTCAGTCATGGGCTTGAACTCTGGGCCTGAGCACTGTCCTGAGCTCTTCAGCTCAAGGCTAGCACTCTACCACTTGAGCCACAGTGCCACTTCTGGCCTTTTCTGTTTATGTGGTGCCGAGGAATCAAACCCAGGGCCTCATGTGTGCGAGGCATGCACTCTATCACTGAGCCACCTTTGCAGCCCAACTAACTCCATTTCTAAAACCTCAGATATAGTTTTCCCTAAACCATCCAAGCTTTCCTTAGACTATTTTTTTTGTCCTCATTATGGTATTCAGTTTCCTGTTACATCTCTACTCTCAATGGTACTGCTCCTGCCCTACCTTAGGAATACAAGACCTCATTACTACTTAAATAACTCTATTACCCTCACTTTTTGATAGTATGATTATCATTCTTGCTACCAATTTTTTACTATTTCAATATGTGTGTAACTTCTCTTGGTTTCTTTCCAAGATATTGTACATGATGTAGTAAAATCTGGATGTGGCCCCAACCTAGCAGTACAAGTTTGTGGTTTTGTGCCATTTTATACTTGTGGGTTAATTGAACATAGTTATGAAGAGTAACTGTTCTGAGAGTAACTATTATAGACCTACCTCCGGTATTTTAGAATGTCTAACCCAAATTTATTGTTGTCCTATTACCATTCAGATGTCAACACTCATTAAAATTGCTTTACAGAAACAGTAATTTTCATGTACTATCTAGAGGTAGGTCACTGAATATGCATGTTTCACAAGGAAGAGAAAAACAGTTAATATCTATCCCTTTCCCTATGATCTTTTCAATAAAACAAGAAATAATGAAAGAGGCCCACTTAATTGCAGCTTTGCTCATTACCTAAGGGGACCATTCACTACATTCCTACAAGTACTGTAATGTGGTCCTTCTTGTAAAGGTTACTTAGGTGAGTTTCACTCTAATTAATTCTGTCTATTAACAAGTCAAATTCCCCTTTAAGAGCATCTAATTTTCTCCTTTAAGTCAATGACGCCTAGACCACAATTAAATCTTTTTTTTTCTCAAAAACACACTAAGCTTCATATACCCATGTGAATTCTTCTTTTGATTATGGAAAAAATAATGAAAGATGGAAATATGGGAGGAAAATCTGTTACGGTGACCATTTAGTATTAATTAATTTTAGGAAAAAATAATGTACTGACTAAAATTGCAGACTACCATGTGTGGTGGTCTACATCCATCATCTCAGGACTTGGGTGGACAGTTTTAAATCACTTCCACTAAAATATAAAATTAAATATAGAATATACCTATTTCATTAAAATATAGTATTAAAATTAAATTTTCTAGTATGAAGTTCAAATATTACATAAATATCTGTACTTACCTTAAATTTTCATTAAATCTTACTGTAGCTGCACAGTGGAATATAATATTGGTAGAATCTATGATGGCCTCTTTATCTTCTTCACTAAGAGCCAGTTTAGGTTGGGTGAGTTCACTGTTGATTGCTATAATTTTCTCTCTAAAATCTGAATTTTCATCTCTCAATCTGTCAAAGAGCTTTCAAAGAAGGAAAGTACATTTTTGGAATATTGTTTTTTCCACTTTCTAACATACATTACATATCCTCTCCTCTTTTACCTACCAAGAAATACTATTTAAAAAAAAAAAACTTACCAAAATACAATTCCTAAGTGCTTTTCTTAGAAAAAACACCCATTATCCAAACTTTATAGATATGGAATTTTGAGACTCAAAGACCTCAGGCAATGTGCCACCAAGCCAGTTGTCTGCAAATCAATATGAACTAGAAAGGCCTTGAGTAATTATATTATTCCTCAAAACAGACATCATTGTAGACATTAGGATAAACTTTAAAATGTTCACTCAGATTTTTAAATTCCAAACCTTAATTTATCACTTTATGTAATACTTACTTTGCTTTTATTCTCCAAAGTACATCTACATACATATCTTTAGTATCTATCTTCCTTCTAACATTCCTCACTATTTCACTCTTCCCTGGGTCCTTCTTAAATAGAAAAAGATTTAACTAAATATTTAAGAAAACAAGGAAATGGACTTTCCTTCAAGTTTAGATGTTGGTGGTAAAAAGTATATGAGTGCCTGGACAATGAGAATGCAGTGTTATAAGATATAAAAAAGAGGACTAACACATAGCAGTTAACTAACTTAATACTTATTAAATGGAATAGGAAAAATTATTTATCCAGCTTAAGAACACTACATATAGGCTGTTCTCAGAAGAAACATTCGAGCTGAGATCTGATGAGGGAAAAGGGGCCTTGAGATTATATAGTTAGAGGCAACAACACCTGGACTTGACCAATTACTGGATTTGAAGGGTAAGAAGTGCAGAAAATTGTGTTAGGGCAGGAAGTACATCTATTTTGCTAAGTAAATTATCATATATCAGAGAACCTGGCAAGGCAGTCTTTATAAATATTTGTTAAGTGAATAAATTCACTAGATTGGAAACACTGTAAAAAAGTCAGTACAGTTTTGAAGATTCAAGTTCAGTCTTAGAAATGGTTGAGTTGGTTCATATAGTGCCTATATGAAACCTAAGAAGAAAGGTCTAAGTAGAAATGATTGACTTTCCAAAGTAGAATTAACTTCCTTATTCCCTTTTAGTTGTGAAATCAAAGCCACTTGTGGGGAAAGAAAAGCAATAAGCAAAGCACATAGCTCCTTGACTTAGCTGAAGATGAAAACCAAACACCTGGTGGGATGTGAGAGAACACTATACTTAATATCGATGGTGACAAGATGGTGGTGTTTGGCCACTCTGGGAAGTGATACGAGAAACTATATCTTGCACTTGGTCCTTGATGAAGAGGTGTGAGCAATTAAAAAAAAAAAAAAAGAAATGATTGACTTTGTAGGTCTGGAATTCTGAGGGGAGAGAGAAAGACAGACCAACATAGATGGTACTAATCACAGAGTAGAAGAGATCATCCAGATAGCAACAGCAATGAAAACCTAAGATTGAAACTAGCTATTTTCAAGGACTAGCATGGTGCCACAAGCCTCTAATCCCAGCTATGTATGTAGTGGTTTAAGGATAGCCTGGGTAAAAAAATTAGAAAGACCTTATCTCAAAAGATCAGGCTGGGGTAATATATGCTTATAATTCCAGAGGCTAGAGACAAATCAGGAGGTTCAAGACTAGATCAGGAAAAAAGTTATGTAAAACTCCATTTCAACAAATAAGCAGTGCATGATAGTGTTGTGTCTGTCATCCCACTAGTCAGAAGATAGAGGTTGGAGAATCCTAGCGCAAAGATGGCTTCCAGAAAAAGCAGGAGAGACTATCCCTGAAAAATAAACCGAGTAAAAGGACTGAAGGTATGGTTCAAGTGGCAAAGTACTTGCCTCATGAGTTCAAATCTAACTTAAAGCCAACCATTCAACTCACATAAAACAAAGCAGGTTTTGTAAGCACCTCACTGGACCTAGTAAGAAGAGATCAAGGCCTAGGATAGAAACACAGTGGGTTTTTTGTAAGTACTAATTGAGCTTAGAGCTTTCTAATTCAAGCTTACAGTCAATGAACGTCAGATGAATGCACTCATTTTGAGAGAATTTACAAGCAAGCATATTTTAATGTTAAGATAATTTTATTCTAGCTTATTTTGTTTTTCTTATCGGTTTTTCTAAAGGTATGAAATGTGCTATTTTATATAACCTCTTTGTCATCTGTGAAAAGGGAGTAATGTCTTCGTTACCCCCAATACTGTTATGAGGAGCAATTCTGGTTCTTAGAAATTTTGAAACAAATCAAACATAATTTCACATACAACAGGTGGTTCAAAACTACCTAATTATTACCTGAAGACTACTATACAGTAATAACAAATAACCTACCTCAAATATTCTAAAACCATACTTTAAATGTTTTAATCAAAAGGTTATTAAAACTTATTAGAAAATGTTTCCCATTATAGAAGCTTTTTTGCCTACTTATTTGTAAATTGTATCCAATTTATTGCCGTCTTTTAACAATTTAGCTACAATGTTTTTCAATAATGATTTTAGGATACTGAAGAAATAAAACCAAGCTGGTGATGTTTACCATAATCACATGCACAAGCACCTGTTTTTTACTCCTGCCAATGATCATTTTCCACACTTACCTTGCTACTAAGGATCTCTTCTACCCGCTCCTGGGGTGTCTGTCCAGCTTTCTGCCTCACCAAAACGTATACTGAATTCACCTTAGGACAAGACCTCAGTAACTTTTCCAAAAGCACCTTTCCTAGGAAACCAGTAGCTCCTGTGAGGAGGACATTCTTGCCTTCATAGTATTCTGGAATTGAAACCATTTTGACCCTAAGAGAAACAAGACAACTTCACATTAGTTAAAGGATTTATGTTCAATCTCACAAAAAGAAAAAATCTCATTAGTCACATATTTTAAAAGAATGACATAAGTCAAGATTGACTATTAGCAAAATGGGACTCTAACCTCTGATTCATTGTAGTACAGTGCTAAGAAAGAAGAAACTGCAGCTTATTCTAACCTTGTTTATCTCATGGGTTACCTTGGACAAGTCACCTTTTCTGGGCTAATGTTTCTTTAATGTACTAAATGTTGTCAAAAATGCCTTCTAACAATAAGAATCCAAATCTTTATTCAATCTCAGTTAAGCCCTAAAAACAATGGAATGGTGTTCTTCTCTTCCCTAAGGAATTTAGAATAGAATAACACTGAATAGAAATCAGCAGTAAGACTCAATTGTCTGGCTAGTATACACTGGAGGTGTTATGTATACCTATGATTATCAGTCCTTTCTCCTACATGTTTATTGGTTACAATAAATCCAAAATGGTATTTTATTTCTCTTCTGTAAAAAAAGGCATAATACATAGGCTAGCTTAACCTTCCAATCCAAATCCCACTGAAACAGTAGAAAGGATCCACTAACAAAATAAATGAACAGCCATGACAAATGAGGTGGGGGAGGGAGGCAGGATACATGCAGTTAGCCAAAAATTAAGTGCTTGTTAACAGTATAAGCTGCTTTATTTATACAACAGAATATCTGGAAACAACGAAAATGAAGGAACTATTGCTACATACAACATAAATATATCTCACAAAAAGAAGACTGGACCATCGTCTGACTATCCAAAGCCAAAATCTCTCCACCTAGCCTCTGGGAGGAGTTGATGACCCATAACCCTCTTGTTTTTCCACCAAAAAACTTTACTGGCGCTAAATATTTTTAAAACCCAGTTTCTAGAGGTTAATGACACACTATTCCAGTTTCTTGGGAAATCCTTCCTTTCAGACTCCAATCAAAGTCTGAGGGCTTGGGACTCTCAGGGCAGCCATTCTTTCTTGAGATGCCTGCCAAGTGTCCCCTCTCAAGTGTGTACTTTCACTTTGTTCTGCAGTAATAAACCTGTTCCTGTTAAGTCAAAAACAAAATAAAACAAATTAAAAAACAAATAGGTTGACTATATGTCCTGCTCTGCTTAGAACTAGATTGAGTTATGGCCAGTATGATGGTAAATGCTTATATTTCCAGCACTCAAACTTAATTTTTAATAGAGTCCTCTTTTCACAAAAAAAATGTCTCAATTACAAGAGAACTCTAGTTGTAAACTGCTTCAGTTTACAACTTCAATAACTGAAGGCCTAATTAGAGCTACATAATATTAAAGTTAAAATGCTAATAACTTCATATGAGAGATATGAAAACTAATTCTATAATACAAGTAAAATCTGATAGCTATTAATGAAAATTACATACTAGATTTGTTTGTTATAGCTAACTTCCTGAGCATTTTCTTTGTTGTTGTTGCTGTCAGTCATGGGACTTGAACTCAGAGCCTGGGCACTGTCCTTGAGCTTTTTCACTCAATGTTAGCACTCTACCACTTTTGAGCTACAATGCCACTTCTAGTTTTTGAGTGGCTAAGATAAGAGTCTTCCAGGGACTTTCATGCCCAGGCTGGCTTTGAACAGTGATCCTCAGATCTCCATCTTCTGAAGAGGTAGGATTACAGGCATAAGCCATCGGTGTCCAGCTTCCTGAACATTTTCTGGTATGAATTTTTTACAACAAATATTAAGCACAAATGAGTTACCATACTTCATGAGTGGAAATAGAGTTCTTATAAAAGGGACTCTAAACCAGGGTAGTGGCTCACACCTATAATCCTAGCTACTCAGGATGCTGAGATCTTGAAAATTGTAGTTCAAGGCCAGCCCAGGCAGGAAAGTCCATGAGACTCTCATCTCCAAGTAACCATCAGAAAACCAAAAGTAGAGCTGTGGCTCAAAGTAGTAGAGCCCTAGCCTTAAGCAAAAAAAGCTCAAGGACCATGCCTAGGTCCTGAGTTCAAGCCCCAGGACAACCAAATACTAATCATCATCATCATCATCATCATCATCATCATCAGTGATATCTTTAGCTGAACAGACATAGACCAAGCAATATGACAGACAGGTGCTGACACAACATCATTCATGATACCAGCAGTAAATGAGATGAAGTTCTATAGGTGCATCAATAATCTCATTCATGAATGTATTAACATGCTAACAGAACACATACAATATACAACAAACATTCAAACTATCATCAGAATTAGAACAGCTAGAAAGATACTGTTCTACACAGAAAACAAATCTCATCTCAGTACTGGAAGATCAGGTTCAGCCAATATATAAACTGCTTCCTGATAAATAAGGTATGCTTGGTTGAAACAAACTTTCTAGCTTACTTAGTTAATAGCAAAAGATAAACCTTAGGGCTGAACCTAGAAGGTCAGAGTTGGACCCATAATTCCTTCATCTCCAAAGTACATAGATCCATACACCTCTATCTCAGAGCATTTGTGTGAGAATTAAGTGTCATAAATATGCTAAAAACAAAAACAAGACGAGTTGGTTGCTGGTGGCTCAGCACCTATAATCCTAGCAACTCAGGAGGCTGAGATTTGAGAATTGCAGATCAAAACCAGCCAGGCAGAAATATCCCCATGAGACTCCTAACCACTTAGAAACTGGAAGTGGACTGTGGTTCTAAGTGGTTGAGTACTAGGCCTTGAGCAAAAGAGCTCAGGGATAGCACCCATACCCTGAGTTCAAGCCCCACACTGACAAAAACCAAAAACCAAAAACCAAAACTCTCAAAACTAGAAATATGATTACAATGCCATATTCATTTTCTCTTTATATCTGTGACAGTGTGATCCTTCAGCAAATGGTATAATCCACAATATTTCCAAAATAGTCTGAAAAAAAAAGTCTCCTTCCTTCCCTCTCTACTTTCCTGATAAAAGTTTTAATTCTTTCTTAGCCAAGAATTATTTAGGCTCAAAAAAATAAAGTATTATCCAAGTAGGATCAAAAGCTATTTTGTCTCTGGATTGACATGCATACATACTCTTACTGACTGGAAGTCTTCAAATTTACTTATCAGTATTATGAGAAATACCTAACCATTACCTAAGTTAGGAAATCAGGTTTTATCGTCACAGAGCAATTTTAGAGGTACAACATATGCATGAAATCCCTCTAACCACTGTTGTTCTTAAACTTGTAGTCAATAATACAGAGCAACTAGAGACATCATAATGTTACTAATCATTTACAAAAACTATTTATTTCTTCTTGGGAATACAAGATACAAACATACACAGACATAAGTGGAAATGTCATGATAAAATCTCCCCCATATCAAATATATTGGCACCAAAATTTCAAGGAAGTATTATTTGCAACATTCTAAAAGTGGAAAAGTATCAACAACCCACCAGCTGTATAACATATAAATTCTACACAACAATGAACTTAAAAGAGGTCTCAAATATTAGCTAAAGAACCCAGATATAAAGGTATATTTATTTTTATTATAATATTTAATATTATACCTCACACCTTACCCTACTGAAGATTATAGGGGTGAGCCAGCAAGAAGTTTATTTATTTATTTATTTATTTTTGTTGGTTATGGGGCTTGAACTCTGGGCCTGGGCACTGGCCCTCAGCTCTTCAGCTCAAGGCTAGCACTCTACCACTTGAGACACAGCACCACTTCTAGCTTTCTGAGTGGTTATTGGAGAAAAGAGTTTCACGGACTTTCCTGCCTGGGCTGGCTCTGAACCATGATCCTCAGATCTCACCCTTCTGAGTAGCTAGGATTACAGGCATGAGACACCGGCACCCAGCAAGAAGTTTATTTTTTAAAGATGTTATTTCCTACATTAAAAAGTGCTATATCTTAATGTCCTTCCCTGAACACATTATTTATACTCTTATAAGAAGCAATCCAATTTTTACTCCTTTTTTTATTAGTGTTTATTAACTGAACAAAAGGATTTCACTGATATTTCCATACATGCACATAATATACTTTTTTCACTACAAATTTACTTGTTTATTAGTATTGTGAGAAACACCTAATTAACACCAACAAATAAATATATAAAACTGTAAACATTTTATACTTCATAAAATGATCTAAAATAATACATATTTATATAAGACTATTTGTTCAGGTGCACAGTAGAGAATGATTTTATAATTTCAAGTAGGTTATTCAAATGTTTTCATTTCAATGTATATAAAAATATTCCCAATATATAGAAACTGGATTTACTAATGGTTGTACATGTTATCTATTTGAAAAACATGTGAAGTAGATATGGATTCCCACTATTACTTTCTTATTCTATCCCCCCCACCCTTTTAAAGTAAAAGGAGGGATTAAAAAGGTAAAAACAAAGCACAACCAAAAGTACTTGAAAGTACAAATTTTTCTCTCAATTAGCCATTCTTTACTACCTGTCTTAACTCACTTTCAGCCTTACTTAGAAAAAAAACTGATAAATAAGACAAAATTGTAGTAAGGGTACTCCTGCTAATCTTGCTAAACGTATTCTATTTCTTTATTAGATTACAAGCATTTTAGATTAAAAGCCATATAGTTACTTATATATAAAAGTATTGATGAATAAACTTTGAGTTTTCTTAGTGAAGTTTGACAGGTTTCCCTTCTTGGAATAATGTTGAGATTGACATGGGATGTACTTCTCTTCTATGTCCTGAGGGACTGCTTCCTTAGCAATGTTTTCATGTTCATAAAGCAGTCAAGTGCCCAGAACTACCCAATATGGTACTGTAGTCAAGTGGAGACTGGTGATCTATATGTAGCTTCCTATATTGTGATTTACTACACACAATAACTGAGAAAATATCTTTATTTTTTTCCATTTCGATGCATGCTATTTAATATGATCAGAGGCCAACAAAGGATCTTTATAAAGACTCAGTTTCACGTTTTAGCTGCTTTAAATTTATTTAGAGAATCTAAGCACTGAATATGAAAGTCTCAAATTGGGTATCTAGTCATTCAATCTAGCTTTCTATAAATGTTGACTACCTATAGCTATTCCTAAAAGTAGCTTCTATTGTTTTCTTTTTATTAATACTAGCTCCTCTACATCTTTAGCATGCGAATGAATTCATAGCAAAGCCCATTTCATGGACATTATAAGGTCAACAAATGAACAAAGAATAAAATATTTTGCCTATCTTGTAAACTTTTATTTAACTTTTTATTTAACACAGCCACATGCAAATCTGCTGTCATTGATTCTCTAATTCTGTTTATCTTATTCTATACCTCAGCTGGAAAACTACTTGGCAGGAACACTGAAGAGAAATGAAACAGTAGAAAATTAAGCTAAATGATTTCTTACTGCCCCTTAGAGGCATGACTTAAATAAAAGAAAAATAACTTGAAATACCTTTCTAAAGAAAGGATTAAGGCCATGATATTCTAAACTAGAAGTTGGCAAAGGTTTCTGAAAATGTCTGAATAGTAAACATTCTTAATTTTGTGGGCTTTTCTCAGTACCAACTTCTCAACTCTACTATTATAGCATAAAGGCAGTTTCTGTGGTTCCAAAATGTTTGGCCCTACCAAAATTCCTGCTAAAGTTAAATCCCCATTGTGAGTTACTGAGTAAAAAGTAATCTATTATGCTTAGAGGTGGGGACTTCAGGAGCTGAGGATTAGAGTCATCAAGGGAGAAACCCCATGATGCATTAAGACAGAAAGATATTGGAGGAAGTGGTGCTGTAACTCAAGTGGTAGAGCGCTCGCCTTGAGCTGAAGAGCTGAGGGACAGCGCCCAGGCCCAGAGTTCAAGCCCCACGACCGACCAAAAAAAAAAAAAAAAAGAAAGATATTGGAGGATAAGAAATTCACATACACTTCCTGTCTCTTGTTAGGTGATGGCTTGCACTGTATCACCTTGAGACTCTGCCTACAGAAGACCATCACCAGATGCAGTCCCTTGAGCCTTACAACTGTGAGATAAACAGTTCCTTTATGAAGTCACCCAGTGTGAATTTACAATAACATTTCATTTATAATATAATTTCATTTATAATAACACAAACAGACTAACATAAGGACCACAGACAACAAATGGGCATGGCTATGTTCCAATAAAACTTTAAATACAGGGGCTAGGAAGGTGGCTCAGTGGTAGAGCACTTGCCTTGCATGCATGAGGCCCTGGGTTTGATTCCTCAGCACCACATAAGCAAAAAGAAAAAAGCCAGAAGTGGTGCTGTGGCTCAAGTGGTAGAGCACTAGCCTTGAGCTAAAGAGCTAAGGGACAGCACCCAGGCCCAGAGTTCAGGCCCCACGACCGGACCCCCCCCCCCCCCAAAAAAAAAAACACTTTAAATACAGGAAGCCAGTTTGTAGGACATAGTTCGCCAATTCCATTCTCAATAATGATTTCCAATATTCTGCATTCAGAAACATAACCTATAGATGAAAAAAAGCATCAATGGAAAACCAGTGCTGTCTAAAAACACATTGTGATTTCACTACTACTATTCTTATAAGACAATATACAGGAAGATGACCATGTGACAATAACAGCAATGATTGTTCCCAGCTACAATGCTGGAAACAAAGACTGACCTGGCCTGGCACCAGTGGCTCACTCCTGTAATCCTAGAGACTCAGGAGGCTGAGATCTGAGGATTGTTCCCTCAGGAACAATGACACCTTGATTTCTATCATCTACAGTCTCGAGACAACAAATTTCTGTAATCTTGTTTTCATTCTAGTCCTGGGGCTTGAACTCAGAGCCTATGTGCTGTCTTGAGCTTCTTTTGCTCAAGGCTAGAGCTCTACCACTTGAGGAAGAGCTCCATTTTTGGCTTTTGTTGTTGTTCTTAGTTTACTGGTGATAACAGTCTCATGAACTTTCCTGGCTGTGCTTGCTTCAAACCTCAATACTCTGATCTCAGCCACCTGAGTTGTGTGAGTCATTAGTGCCTGACAAACTTCTGTAATCTTTTTTTTTTTTGGTCGGCCGGGGCTTGAACTCTGGGTCTGGGCGCTGTCCTTCAGCTCTTCAGCTCAAGGCGAGTGCTCTACCACTTGAGCTACAGCGCCAATTCCGGTTTTCTGGTATTTTATTGGAGATAGGAGTCTCACGGTCTCTCCTGCCCGGGCTGGCGATCCTCAGATCTCAGCCTCCTAAGTAGCTAGGATTACAGGCGTGAGCCACCAGCGCCTGGCAACTTCTGTAATCTTAAGTAGTCAAATTTGTAGAAACTTTGTTAAAACTTCTCTAGGAAACTATCAGAAGGCCAAATACCATAGGACTACAATTATGGCCCAGAACAAAAGGATTTCTAAAGATGATTCATACACTTTTTAAAATTATATACATATATAATAAATATACATAAAGACATTTGTAGTTACAAAAAATACACTATTAAATGGAAGAACTTTCAAATGGGTACAAGAAATAGCATAAAGTTTTTCAGGATGGCTTATGAACATGTACTGATTACATATCTATATATTTACAAATCTCAATATGTAATAGCAGATGCAGGCAAAGTAGTATTCTGGTTATCTATCACTATACAACAAAATTACTCAAGTCTTTTGCCTCTCCCAATGAGGTATTTTGAGCTTCCTTATACAGAGTAATTACAAGCTAAAGTTAATGGCTTAAACATCAGAATTCCAATAAGCTAGTAGAAGCTCTTTAACCTTTTCTGACCTAGTCTTGAAAGCCATCACAGTGTAACTTTTATCATGTTCTATTGCCTCTAAGTGATCTGAAGATAGGCCAAATTCAAGAGACCATAAACCTTACCTCAGGATGGTTGAGTACCCTGGTGGCTTTTAAATGGTACAACTGTGCCTCTAATTTGTATCTCTTGGTGCTGACTACTCTTGAGTAATGGACTAATAGGTTTTTTTGTATAAGAGTTTACAAGAAAAATACATGAAGACAGATCTTCATACCTTTGAATTCTGAAAGCTAGAGTTCATACCCCTGTAGTACTGTAGCTGCTGACAGTTACCTTGAAGCCTTGAAAACCAGCCTTTTCGTCAGGGCTGGGAGGTGTAGCTAGCTCAGTGATAGAGAACTTGCTCAGTATGCACAAGAGCATGTTTTCCAACAAAAAGCTTTGCAGTTTTTCCCAGTAACCTGTATACCATAATAATTCTGAAGTTTGTGTATTCTTTCACAATGCACACCAATCATTGTAACCATGAAACCAAGTATCATGAGCTCAATACAAAAAGATGTCTGGCCAAAGTAGGACTTACTTAGAACCCTCTGGGCTCCTTAAGGAAGACAGACCACTTCAAAAGGATCAGCACTACCTCTCCTGTGCTCCTCAAGGTGACTTGGGAGTAATCAGTAGTCTCTGGGTCTCTTCTTCAGTCACCAAATCTGTGAAAGGACAATATCGTCATTTAGTTTAACAATCATAATTGGTTTTATTTCCTATTCTATAAAACAACACTTCATTCTATAAAACAAAACAAGTGCTCCAATAGACTGAGCAAAAGAGGCTCTGTTTGTTTCTCTCTCAGTAGTTTTCTGCTTTTATTTATTTATTTTTCTTTCCCTTGAGATGAATTCTGACTATGTAATACAGGCTGGCATTCAACTCAAGAACTTCCTGCTTGGAGGACTAAGTACAGGTGTAATGCCACATGCCCAGCTTAAGCGGTCAGGTACTTTTGGGATTTTCTTTTCAAGTAGTACTAAGCTTAAGTCTAGGAGGTTATACTGTCTAGTAACACTCCAAGGCACACTCATAGCAGTTTTTTGCTTTTAGTCATTTTTTAGAAAGATGTTGTGATTTTGCCCAGGGCCAGCTTCAGACCTATCATATGATAGGTCTCTCATATAGATAAGGCTATAAGTGCCAGCTACCCTTGGCACTAGCTTATTTAGATTGGGTTTGCTAATTTTTTGCCTTAGCTGGCCTCAAATCTTGATCTTTCTGCACTGTGTATTTGGGATTACAGATTTCCCCCAGAATCAAGAGTTTGATTTTATGAAAGAAAGAAAGAAAGAAGGAAGGAAGGAAGGAAGGAAGGAAAGAAAGAAAGAGAGAGAGAGAAAAAGAGAGAAAGAGAGAGAAAGTGAAAGAAAGAGGAAGGAAGGGAGGGAAGGAGAGAGGGAGGGAGGGAGGCAGGAAGGGAAAGAAAATGAAAAGATGATGAAGCAGAAACACAGAATGTGATTGGTGATTTTAATAAAGTTACTTTCCTTGTAAAGTGGAAAAGGTAAATAGATTAGAAAAATAACTAACTGGCTAACATCAGGTTACTTAGAGAGTCAGGGGTATGGATCAGTGGTAAGAATGCTAGCCTAGCCTTCATGAGTCCCTGGGTTCAATCTCTAGCACTACAAAATAAATCAGGCTAGTTAATGTTTTCCTTATTTGTAATAAGGCAGCGATAACTTTACTATCATATCAAATGAAACTAGGCTATTTGGGAAATATGGCTGTTACTGGTCTAATCCAGATTTCTCAGAAATCACACAAGCAGCTTAGTTTCTGCTTGGTGCTATGGAACTAGTATATGAGTGATTCCACTTTGATTTTCAGTCTGGTATGTTAGGGCATAGTATAAGACCTTAATCCAAACAGTGACCTGCTGTGAATTTTTTTAACAAACAAGACTGATACAAAAAAAAAAAAAAAAGAGCTGTTTCTTTTAGTTAAGACTGTGAAGTACCCTCTCTGTTAGTATACACTGTTAAGATTTCCTCTTTGGAGCCGGGCGCTGGAGGCTCAAGCCTGTAATCCTAGCTACTCAGGAGGCTGGGATCTGAGGGTCACAGTTTAAAGCTAGCCTGGGCAGGAAAGTCTGTGAGACTCTTATCTCCAATGAACTACTAAAAAACTGGAAGTGGTGCTGTGGCTCAAGTGGTAGAGCACTCGCCTTGAGCTGAAGAGCGTAGGGACAAGTGCCCAGGCCCAGAGTTCAAGCCCCACGGCGGACCAAAAAAAAAAAAAAAAAAAGATTTCCTCCTTGGGGGCATATCTGGAACCAGAGGTCCAGTTAATGTCTTTTCTACTATATTTTGATAACTATAGATTTTTTAAATTAGTGACAAATAAAATTGCATATGTTTATTATATGCCAAGAAATGTTTTAAACCATATATACACCATGGATTCTTTAGATAGTGTTTTGGTTAAAGCTCAACATAAAACTTCTTATGAAAATAAAATATAAGCGACAAATAAAAATCCTAAATGCAAACTCGAAGTGTACAAACTAATTACTGTAGTTAAGTACAAATAATGGATGATTTTTTTCTTTTTTCAAAAATTAAGGCTTATCGGGCATTTTTCCACAAACAAAAGAATAGCTCTAGCGTCTTGGTTAACATTGCTTTCTTCAATAAAAGATGCTAGTGTCCAACACTGTTCTAAGCACCCATTGAAGTAGATATAATGGCCACTCTGTTTGCCTACACAGGCACTGATAGAACAATATCTAACTGCCCTATTTTCACCAATGTCTAAGGTATTTCTTCTTAGTGAGTTCATTAGTTCTCAGGCCACTGCATAACTATTTTGTACATTAATGTACAAAACTGTTGCTCCATAGCATGGTACTTTCAAAGGCCTAAAATATGCCTAGGACATTATTCTAAAAAATGTTATGTTTTATATGTTCAGCTCCTGTATCAGGGAAGAGAAAGGAAAAAGAAAGAAGGGGAAACAAAAAAGGAAAGCAAAAAGGGAAAGGGAAAAGGATAGGGATGGAAAGGAAATAGAAGGAAGGAAAAAGGGAGAGAGAAGAAGGAGGGAAGAGGGAGGAGAAGAGAAAGGATGGGAAAGGAGAAGAGAAATCAACTTCATCTAAGAGGAAATTTTAATATGGCATTAAAATCATATGCTTTACAGAAATCTTAAAAATTGCAGTAATATCAATTTTCTTTTGTTCCTGTTTCTAAAGTTCAAGGCCCCAAACTGATAGGGTAATAATTTCTCTACTATAAAGCCTATCAGAAAGGGCTGTGTTCACTTTACACATAGCTTGTTAATACAGAATAATAAATAGGAAAAAATGTCCATAATAGCTCACGTAATTACATTATTGAGATTGGAGGGGGAGGTAGCCCACTGTTTGGAAAAATACATTTTATTTTAGGGAGAATACATTCATTTAAAGAGTATTTCCCTTTATTTTTTAAGATAAAACTATTATTCTCTCTTTACTCCTTACTTTAATAAAAATGTTTTCATATTAAAATAAAAAAATGTATCGTAGCTGGGCGTCTGTGGCTCATGCTTGTAATCCTAGCTACTTAGGAGGCTGAGATCTGAGGATCAGGGTTCAAAGCCACCCTGGGCAGGAAACTCTGTGAGACTCTTATCTCCAATAAACCATCAGAAAATCAGAAGTGGCACTGTGGCTCATGTGGTAGAACACTGGCCTTGAACTGAAGAGCTGAGGGACAGTACCCAGGCCAAGAGTCCAAGCCCCACAACTGACCAAAAAAAAAAAAAAAAAGATGCATCCTATTATTATTATAGTATTATCAGAATGAAACAGTGTTCAGGTCACAATGGTACACTAAACTTTTAAGTATATTACTAAATATGGATCTTTCAAATTTTGCAAATACAGCAATCAAATATCCTATTTTGCTTAAAAATCCATTAAAAGTAAATAATTCAAATTACTCAGTAAAACTGATGTTACATTAAAATGTATCTTGTTTATCTGGAATAGACTATACATAGATTATAGGTTTACTCAAAAACTTGCCTCATGTAAATTACTAATTATATATCATGTGTAGTTTAATTCAAGTCCAATTCACCAAAAGTAATCTCTCAAAAATAAGTAAAATCAGAATTTTGCTAACGTATGAAGTGCTCTGAAGATCCTGCTTCATTGATATTCTATATTTCCTCTCTAATTCTGTTGTGTATCCTTTTTTCAGGTACCTTCTGAATCTGTTCTTAATAGGGAAACTAAAACAGTCCTTCAGTCCTCCAAGGAAATTTTGAGGTAAATGGGACAGGGAAACTCTATACTTCATATCCAATCAGATTAGCAAGGCATATTAGCATATCAATGACAAAAGGTCCACAGGTAAAGAAACACTCAAGAGAACTCTAAAGCCCTTAGCCATGCTGAAAGAGCCTCTACCACACATTCACACTCAAAAGTTACAATTTTTTTTTAAGCACTGGGGATTGAACTAAGGGCCTACCACGTGAGCCACATTCCCAGTCTTTTTGCTTATTAGTGTACTTTCAGATAGGGTCTTGCACTTTTGTCAGGACTAGACTTTGACCCTTCCCCTTCTTTCTAGCTCCCAAGTATCTAGTATTGCAGGTTAGGACAGTATGGCAGTTTTCTGTGAGAAGGAATAGGTTCAGGAATGTCTTTAAATGACTAAATCCCACCACAAACCCTCTTGTCAAAAGTATTTTCTTATATAGAAACAACGCAGATGCCACACAACAGATAAGTGGACCCAAAAATGTGGGTACCTATATACAATGGAATTTTACACAGCCATCAGAAAGAATAAAATAATGCCATTTGCAGGAAAATTGATGGAACTAGAACAAATCATGTTAAATGAGGTAAGCCAAGATCAGAGAGACAAAACGGTGCATGTTCTCCCCAATATGCAGAAGTTAGATCTAAAATGCATTGGAATATGACAAATGACACAGGATTCTAGATACTCACATACAGTGAGACCAAAAGAGGATAATCTTAGGAGAAAAATCACAAAAGTGCAATACCTAAAAGCCTCTTCATATGCACATAAAATAACATATATATATATATAAATATATATATATATATATATATATATATATACACACTGAAATGAATGCCAATGATATGAAAACAAGGGACTTTTTTCTTAAATTTTTTTTTCTTTTTCTGATGACTCTGTATTCTTATACAGGGTGTTTATGTGCACATCTGTGGGAGAGTGAGGGGAGGGTACCGAGTCCAAGGAATAAGAAAAGTGCAGCAATGGAGTGCACTAGAAATTGATGAAAGTGAACTATGCAATTCATGGGTGGAGATGAGAGGTAGGGAATGGAGAGAATGGAGGAATAGATAATGATGTATACAAATTTACATACCTAACATATGTAAATGTAACCCTGTTGTATATCACCCCTAAAATAACAATAAAGTAAATTTAAAAAAATAAACCTACTCAAAAGGCAAAAAAAAAAATTTTCTTAGTTTATCTCTAAAACTTTGCAAAGTTCATAGTCACATCATGCAACTAAATACTATCAAGCAGATAATCAAACCAAAAAGATATAAAAATGAGAGTAGTGTTAATAAGCCCTGAAATTGTGGGCTATCACACTAAGGATGGGGTGAAAGTATGGCAACATAGACATCGGAGTATAAAAATTCAAGAAATTCTTAGTC